CGTGTTGATGGAACATCACTCTTCACGGGTAACAGGAAGAGCATCTGATATTAAGGAACTGTCACACGTATGGAATTCGATATTGTCGACGCAAACCAGGGAACTCCTTCTTCTTCAAGCTTACCTCATTAGAACCAAGGTATTGGGTCGAAGGCGGTCCAGTCACCTCACAGATGGATTCCCGGCGAAGGGAGCAATGTTGCGGCAGGAAAACCAGATCGACCTGCAGGCCACGTCCTGAAGAATGATGCATGTTATGTAATGATAGGCGGCGATTTGTTGAGAAACATGCTGGGGTTTTGGGTTTTCCAAAAAAGGTATCCTGAAACTTCAACATTCGATAAAGCTTAGACGTTTCGTGCAACGCTTATTAAGGCAATAACAAAAATTTCGCGTAGGTCTGCCGTGCATCAGATTGAAATCGAGATAGAATTCATACCTGATTTTCTACGAAATATGCCCTCCAAGAATTAGTACGCGTAATAAGTGGATTCAAGAGGCTCTATGCAACCACACGAGTTTGCCAGGTGTGGTCCAGACCCTTATATCTTGGCCCATTCAGACGAAATGTCTATGAATTTCCGGAAAGCACGCAAGCGAAAATTGGCAACTGCTTTGGGATTTTTAGTGCCTGGAGCTTCCGACCGCCCAACTTGCGAAGCCTCCGCACAGCAACAGGACAACCAATATTGATCCTAAGGCCACCAATGAAATCAGGAGATGCCAAAGTTGCTGTCTGGGGTGTTCATTTCTTGACTGGACATCTAGAGCATTAAGACTGTTTTGGGGATCAGTCAAATATTTTATGGGCTTCACTCGCGGATTGGGTGCTATTCAAACTAAAAATGACCAATAATTGATGATCGTTGGTCTCCATTATTTTATTTGCATGCAAAAAGCATTTCACCTCACATTGCAACTGACGAATAAATTCATGTAAAGATTTGGCATGCATTGCAGGGTCAAGAAGGAAAGCAGGGATCAGATACAGTATGCGACTTATACGTACCCATGGATTGTGACGCACGGCTGGACCATCCATTCGCATATCACGATCTGACTGGATCTTAAGTAGGCACAGGTTAGATCACTTAGCACGCTGTATGTAGAATCCATTGATTAGCTGGTTTGCTACATCGAGGGAGGGACGCTTAAGAGAAATAAGTGATGAAGTGAAATTTTTTCGTCATTGTGCGAACCCTTTCACTTCTTTGGAGCTTTTGTACTCGAAACAATGCCTTAGTTTCAATGCCATAGTTTTTGTTGCATCTACTACCGTCACAAGCAAGAAGATGAGCTATTTTCCAAGGCTGAGAGCCTTAACAGAAAAAAGCCTGCTATTTTTCAGGAATTGATTTCCTCTCGGGGTGGGGTGGGGGGGAGCTTGAGCTCTTTATAAGTCGCCGCCCGTGTATCTGCCACTCCCCAAGTGACCTATACCAGTGGTTTTCAAACCTCCTTCAGGCGTCCAGTTGGTCGCGACCCACCGTTTGGGAACCGCTGACCTTTGACGGATGTTGCATGATGCATGATGATTTGTCATTATTTCTTTCTTTTCTTCTTTTCTTTGGCTATGGATGGATTAACAAATTTAATAGATTATTCGGACGATTAATCGAATTTTAATCGATTCCTTAGGTCCTCCTTGAATCATGTCTTAGGCGTTGGGCATGGTTCTGCTTGTGTCATGCCCAACACCTCTGCGAACCTCAGGAAGTGACTCAAGGCGATGCAATCGCTAACATAGCAGTAAACATCCGTTCATACATTCAACCTACATGTGACACGTTCCAATCGGGGAGAGAATGATTACAACGTAGCCAGATAAATAATGAAATGTAAACAAAGAACTGAGGCTCTTTGCCATTTAGCCAGCCCATGCCGGAAGGATGCAAAAATGCAACCTAAATGATTGGAGGTATACAGTGACACTTCATTGCGCGGAAATTTAAAGATTCATTATCGATTCACGAGCAACACAGGATGGAGAAGCGGAAAAAGCAAGGAATAGGAGAGGGTTTCACACTTCGTTTCCTCTTCTCTCGCCTGCTTTCTCCCTCTCCCACGTACGCATCTCACGCCCCAGTCTTTACATTATCCTCTTTCCTGCCTCTCGTGCCCCGTGTCCCTGTTCAAATCCCCTATTCTTTCTGCGCGTTCCCTTGCAGCTTCTTCATTACGACATCCTTTTCCCCATTTGCATCCAATGACTTTTCGGTCGCTCTAGGCCGCTGCTACCTTCGCCTGACGCGCGAGGCCTGAAAGGCTATACAGGATGCGTACCAGTACGCTTGTGGATGCAAATGGGTCAGGAAGCTTCTCGTTTGGAATAGTCTGAAAGAGAAAGCTCTCTTTTTGTGTTCCCTCAAAAAAAAAAAAAAAGAAGTCATTTTTGAGGAAGAGTGAGCAGTGCAAAAACGAGCACCTTCTATAAGCAAACATTACATTTCATTCTCTCGGTAAAGCATTCGTTTTCGGCTGTTTAGCAATACTATCAACTACAGTCAAGTTGTAAAGGCAAAAAGAGGCATTCAGGGGTAGATTGGGGGGGGGGGGGGGGATTAAAATTTAATTACTTTTGATTTAAATCGCGATTAATACTTCAATCGATTAATCTAATCGAATCGACAGCCCTACTTTTTCATATTTTAAATTCTGCCTGTCCATGGTTGACATAGCTACTACCGCTTTAATTCTGATTTTTTCCCCCAAGTAACTAAATTCGAAATTTAATTCGTCAGGAATGGTAAAGCTCGTGAGTTGAGAGGGTTTTCTCTTCTCCCACTCCTCGAGTTAATTCCCCATTGACCAAAAATGGGAGAGGGAAAAAACGCCCTTTTTTCTAAATACCCCAACAAGAAGTTTACGGAAAATCTGTCTGTATGAAGTTAAAATTGTCTCCTGCATGTCATGGTGGATCCTTGAATTTGTTGCTATCTAGAATCTTTCACCTTTGGCCTGTGGGTGACGGCAAATGGGAAATGAAACACGTGGGCGATCAGCTTTCCTGATGACGTAGCTGGCAGTCCACCACCTACTTGGTACTTGGGGTACTTTCCCGTCACATCCGCGCCACATAATTGTCATGAAACGCATCCCTCGGTAACGCACAAGAACGCATGGATTGGCGCATGTGCATGTTCCAGGCATGGTTGAAAATGTCCCTGCCCAAGTCGTTTGTGCTCGTTGCGGATGTAGCTGCACAAATGTGCTCAATATATGCCGGTGAATGTCATACTGTTAATAGCTAGACCAGTTCAAAGCTCATATGATTTGTGCAGGTCAGCAGTGAGTCTTTGACAAATTTGGCAGGTTTATGAGTGTACCAGGCCAGACTTGAGGCGTAGCTAGCCCCACTCCACAAAAATGCCGAGCAGTGTTTATGCCACAGGCCCCCTCCCCCAAGGATGGGAGATGAAATTTGATCCACGAACTGGGAGAAAGTAAGTGTGCTAATTTTATAGACTAACTCAGGCCTAAGGAAACACATCCAAAAATCCAAAAATGTATTAAATTGGGAAAAGTATAAAGTAAAATCTGAGTATGCATCAATAAAGAGCCCGATTTCTGGCTCTAAGGCTAAATATTTTGCCTTTTTTCCCTTCTAGTTATTTCATTGATCACGCCACGAAAACTACCTCTTGGAACGACCCCAGGATTACGGTGAAAGCATCCAGATCTCACTCCAGGAGCCCATCTCAAGAGAAGGTAGGGACTAGACATAGGAAGCTTAAGCTAGATCAGCTGGGTTGGCTTGGCTTGATAAGTCTACCCTAATACCAAATTCTGCACTGGCCTGTGTTGTATTGGTTTAGCCCACGGTGACTCATTGTGAGCACTTCAGTTTTAGTCTTGTTCATGAGCTCCTTGTCCTTGTAATTCTGAATTTTGACACCATCATGATATATGTCAGCATTAGCTATGTAGCATAATTCCTGTTTTTGGGACACATCAGTAATTGTATATGTTAACTTTTAAAAATTTTGAATTATTTTGCAAGTTTCTTATTATTTGTGAATATTCACATACGTATAATAAGCTTGTGGGTGGGTCTTGGATAACTGAAAATCTTTGAGTTTGAGAAAAAGAAAGGGTTGAAGTTACAATATTCCTGTGCAAATCAGTTCTGCATCTATGAGAAAGCTTGCTTGGCTTCCTTATTGTTGAGTTCCATTCAAATTGATGTTGATGAGGAGGGCCAAGTGCAATGTGCTGCATGGGCTCCCTTTCTTGTATTCATCAATTAATTATATTGCATATGTCTCTATGATCATAATTTTATATGTCTATTACTCACATCAGTCTTAGTTTAGTGTGATAAAGTATGGGTTTCCTGCAGAATGTGAATGCATTTAATTTACAAATATTGTCAAAGGGCACCTGTGTAAGAATATGAAACAAAGAGTGTCACTAACCTCATAGGTATGATAGGCTTCCCCAGAGATAAACGTCTGGAGCTGTTAAATTGGGAGATCATGGTGGCCATGGAAGTGGGCCATTTTTGGAGATGATTCTTTCTCCAAAATGCTCATGTAAGAAATCCGTTGTCAATTGTGCATTATGTGCTGGTGCACCATCCTGTTGTCTTCATCCATAATGCAATTTCCCACTGAGTTTTATCAAATGAAATTTTAAGGATCATTCAATAATCTGAAAAAAGAAAACCAAAAACATTGTTGTATTACCAAAATTATTCAATAAACAAATGATTTCACATTTCATGGGACACCCTATAGTATCCTAGAATCCCTCCCAACTTCCTCCCCTCCCCCTTCCAAGTTTTTGAGTGATGAACTATTTTGATGATTATACCAAATATATAAGTGCATGTTTTTATGCAAATTTCCATTAGATATGTTTCCTTTCATGGTGATGGGATAATTGTTTCCACAGTATTTAGGTCCATGCAAGTGTCCATTTTTAGGTTACCAATCAGAGGTCCATGTTAACACTTTCAGCCCTGGCAATTTGAATGCACTATGGGCATAGGATGTCATATGATGGCTGCAGGGCTCAAAGTGTTAAGGGTACTTATACCTACATTGTTCTTCTAGCGAGACCAAGTAGAAAGTGTGAAAATGAGTGTCCTTCCATATCATCATGGAAGTATTTGGAAAAGGCCTCTGTCATTCCAATTCAAGGCAGGGCAGGGTTTATTTTACACATTTTGAAGTATTGATTTTTTGTGGTTTAAGCTACTAGGTTTAGACCTGGTTAATGCTAGCCTAATGCAAGTAAATATTTTTGGCTAAGAAATATGTTCATATCCGAAAAAACTCATCATAAATTGACTCTGACTCTGATATATCTTAATTTTCTCTCATATATTATTAATGTGTTGGCAAGGAAGATCCCAGGGTTTTTTTTATATTTTTAAGTGTGACTAAATGAAGTATTCTTCATGCATTCCATTTGACTGTGCAATTACCAGGCCTAATGATAACTTAAGGCCTAAGTGGAAGAGGTCAATTGAATAAATTGAAAAAATTGAGTTGCATGAAGCAGAAGTTATAGTGCCATGGTTTTCATAGAATAAGCAAAGAGCAGCAACAGAAACAGAATCACAAATTTAGTGAAACAGGAGTTGTTACAAAAGGTTATCATTCTCCATGGATGGAAGGTGTTAAGGGCTCTTGAACTTCCTGCCCAATGGCAAGTTTACTCCTGTTAAGGCCTTCAATTTCCAGTACAGAGTTTATGCTGCATTTAGTTATTATAGATAGGGCATTGATGTTCTTTCTTACTGTAGCCCTCCCATCAATCACACCATCATCAAGGAGGGAGAGAGCAAAATGATGTATGGAAGAAGGAAGAAGAAAGAGATATACTGTCTCCCAGTTCCCAACTCACTTCTGAGCCCAGTTCAGATTACTCACTGTCTTATGGTGAGTGCATTTGAAACTCTTGGAACACAGATGATTCTTCTCTTTGAGAATATTTGTCTGGAAGTGCATTGCCTCCCCCAAATTAGACCTAATAGTTCAAATTTGATATGCTCCAAGTAGTTTATTACAGGGTTGATTTCTTTTTGTCATTTGTGCCCACAGGAAAAGATGCTTCGTGATCTATGGTATACATGATATATATTTCTTGTTTCTTCTTAGGATCATCCTCGCACCGAACTGCAACTCCTGATTTCTATGCATCAGGCACTGGTGGAACTGTAGAACCTTCACTGCGTTCAGAGCAGACACGAACCACTGTCAGCTATAAGACTTTAACTGGAGAAGGCCCGAGAGACAGAACAGAGGAAGCAGTAGACAGGATTCAGCGCATGTTCCCTACAGTCTCTGAAGATCACATCCGTGAACTGTTGAAGAAGTGAGCCACAGTATTTCATTTGATCATTGAATTTTCCAGAGTTTCTTGAAATTGCTCCAGTTTGTGTCATAGAGCGAGGGTGGGCAAAATCCGGCCTGCCAAGTGATTCTATCCAGCCTACCACTCTGTCTAGAAAAAGAAAAAAAATTGGTTAGTTTAGTCATAGAAAAGAACAATTTTAATCGATGAAGGAGCTGAGCTTGTTCATTTCATTTGTCATAATTAGGCCCTCTTTCCCTTACTTTCCTCTCCTCAAAAAGCCATGTTTCGACTACAGTCTTGAATGGCGCTTTCTTGGGATTCAGGTTGTTAATTATCAAGATGTCATGCTTCCCAGGATAGCCTGGCCCAGCTGTCAAACCTGTCAACTCTGGGATTTGTGGCTATCTGAGATGGGGAATCTTTTTCTTTTCCGAAAGAGTGGGATTTTTTAGAATTTGAGCCATTTGGATGCATTTTGTCACAGACAGCTCTATAGGCTACACCACAGTGCACTTGAACACTATCGAAGATGAATGACATGAAATATTTAATAATATTTAATATTTTGATAATGAAATATTTAATAACACTTTTTGGTAACCTTAGAAATTTAGGGTTTGATGAGAGTATCAATATCTGATTGGTTTGCAGGTACCATGTGAGGGAGAACGTGGTGATAAGTGCATTGCAGGTGGCTCATCATCCCATTGTACAACCTGGTTCCGGACAAAGAAGGGATTCAGGTCCATCAGTTGCTTCAAATATTTCATCCACCCAGGAATCACCGTCCTTGAGGAACACATCCACTGGCAGCATCACTCCACTCCGCAGCCTCACCCAGCCTAAACCCCATTCATCTCCTAAAATGAAGCTAAGGTGGGTTGTAATGGTAGGTCAGTGCCAATATTAACGTAGGAATCTTGGCACAAGTCCTTAGAGTTCACGTTGTGAAAAGTTTGAATGTATGAGTTACAGGAGGTATTTTGATTTGACTTTCACTCCAGATACCTGAAGAATGTATATCCAAGTGCAGAGGAGACATTCCTCCTTGACCTTCTCTCTGGTTGCGACAACAACGTTCAGGAAGCGAGTGAACGTTTATCAGAACTGGGTTATGCCAAGCGTGACACACCAGTTCCTGGATCAAAGTCACTTGCAAAGAAAGATAAGCCCTCTGACGTTATCTCTCCTGTGTCCAAGATAATATCAGAAGATGATAAACGAACAAGTGAGTGGATTTATTCTCTTACTTTCACGGTATTCCACTCATTGTCATGTGTTCTTTGTCAATTTGAAGTACGGGTCAAGTTGTCCTTACCTTGGGGATATCTGAATCATTGCATGATAACTAAGGTTTGTGACATGATGGAGCATTTGGTCCTCTTGGCAAAAATCTGGAATTGAATTTCTTTTATTCATCATTGTCACATGACTTCTCATATGCTCCATTTGAGCTGCATTTTGATTCTGCAGTTGTCACAGATTCTATGGCATGCTCAATGTACATGTTTCTCCTTCCATGGTGCCAATTATTGCTTGTACAGTATATCAGTTGCTTTTGAAGTTTGTGGAACGAGAGTATTGTGATGTGATACTGTACCAGTATAATGTCAAACTTGAGTAATGTATGATAGAAATGATGTTGAAATAATTGTGACAGGTGATATAATGTGGTGAGCTTGTGGACTTTGTCATGTGGTTGGTGTTTATTTTACTACAGTAAAGAAAGGATTTCAAGAGAAGTATCGAGACATTTCTGTGACTGTGCTGAACATGGCCTTGGAGAGCACCCGTTATGATTCTCAACAGACTGATAAGATCCTAAAAGATGTCAAGCATGAAATGCAAGAGATGGAACGTGAGAAGCGCCAAGTGTGAGTACCCTATTCCATTTTGAACAGAGGTAATTTGAGTTATAATAATAGTGAGAAATGCACTTGGCTAATACATACCTCGTACATGAATTTTCATTTCAGAGGGGATGCAATGCATGACTCACCCAAGCATAGAAGCCCTCGCCTCCCTCGGGCCTCATTTCAAAGCTCTCCTAAGCATGGAGTGAATGGCTCTCCCAAGCGTGGACTCCCAGGTTCTGCTACTGATTCACCTAAAAAGTTGCCTGTCATCCCCTCAGAGCCATCAAGGTTGGTTTCTGGTACTTGTGCTTGGGCAACTAGTTTGAAGAAATAGTTCACCATTAACTATTCACCTGTTCCTCGGTAAATAATTATAACTAGCTAGTAAACTAGTAGTGAATTTTAACAAAAGTTTTACTGTATGACATTCATACTGTCAAACAGTAAGCCTAATGTTATTTATGTACAATACTGTGTGTTAAGGTACTGGGAACTAGAGGCTTTAGGGCCATAACTGTGCCCTGACTCTGGAACAACAGCCAACCTTGTGAATCCCATCTGAGTTAATGTAGCATACCCATTATTGCCAATATTGGAAGGCCTTGTGGGTGACTTGTCTGTATTTGCCAAGGAAAGGGGAAAGAGTCATCCAGCAATATAAAAATAAGTTTCTTCATTAGATAGTGAGTGAACAAGTTGCAGATTTCAATTATAATTAGTTCACTGTTTTAACTCTTTGAAGCACAGGGGTACACTTTTTGTACCACTATTTTAAAAATAAAAAAATGTATCATGCTTAGACAACTACAACATCCACAGTGGTATAAACATTGTATAAACTACATCATAGTTTAAAAGTAACTAGTAGTAATTTTATTTTATGTGTGTTTTCATGTATCTTTACTAATTTATATACTGGTTGATTGGTTTAAAATTAATTTTAATTTCAGGAGTTATAAGTAATATTTTGTGCAAGTAGAGAATTTTTTGTCTAAGAAGTCTAATGCTTCAAAGAGTTAACCAGTAGATCAACAAATCCATGAACATCCCAGTTATAACTAGCTACTAAATAGTGTATAAATATTAGATTAACTGATTGAAACTAGTTCAACTACTCAACAATGCCATCAGCATTGTCAGTTCATCTTAAGAGATTAAAAGTTGGATTGGGGCCCCTATGGAAGTTTCTACTAGAATGGAGGTCAGGGTAATTTTATTTAATCTTGAGATTCCTCTTAGGAGCATGTATGGGATCAAGAGTAGAGTTTGGGTAACCACAGAATGTATACAGGGGCTTCTGAAGAAGTTACACAATTCTATAAGGTTCAAGTAGACCCCAATGTCCACATGATGATGGTTTGGAAGTCCATTATAATTCTCCACTATATATTGTTAAGTAACTCTGTTACTGAAAAAAAAAAGGGCTCTGTTTTAATCTATTGAAAAGATCAATCTTCAATAATGCTGCTGGAGTTATGAAGTTAAAATCTTTAATGTCTCTGTGTACAATCTGATAGGAAACAGGAGGCACCTAAGAAGGTATATCTCTCCAAGAATCATGTTGGAGCAAAAGGACCAAATCCTGCCCTACGAAAAGGAGTCAGTGACACTTTGCTCCTGTGAGTTCTGATAAGAGCTGAAAATCCCTAATCAAATCCCACTTAAATCAAACTGATTGATTCATCTCTCTTTTTCTTTTTCTAGGAAGACTTATGTGATTTGGTCAGGTCCAGATGCAGATTTGCATGTGGGCCCCAGAAAAGATCTTTTGCAGAAAGCTGCTGGAGGGATTCATTTGGCAAAGGGATCTGATCCAAGTCTCAGTCGAGGTCCCAATCCCAATCTTGTCAAGGGCTCCTTCCGATGTGGGATGCCCTTTTCCAATCCACACCTGATGGAAACACATCACCATATTCAGCATCTTGAAGCTGTGTGATTATATGATTGAAGAATACCAATTATGATTGGTATTTATGCTTAACCCTTCAGCAAGGGAGTATTTTCCATGTCCTATACACATCCAGGGGGAGATAACATTCTTTGCCATTGTAAGAAAAGAGGAATATATTTTCAACATCCACCATGGGTAGCAGCTCTGCCTGATGCAAAGACAGTGACAAGAAAAATCTGCAAACTTCAAAAGACACAGAATATCATGATGGGAGGAGATGAGAGGATGGAAATTAAAAAATAACTTAAAACAACCCTTTCCAATTCTAAGACAAGCTGCTTCAAGTTATAAAATCACTTTTAAAAAGGAGCAGGAATCAAAATCACTTGTACCTGTCTCCTAGACACATGCATTGAGCATTTAGTCTCATGATGCTAAAAAGACCCATGAAATCAACAATATGAAAAGATGGTAAGAAGCTTATATTAAGTAGACCTGAAAATAAGGCTCTTGAAGGTTAATGGGTGAAATGCAGCTCATTATTGTGAATTTATCAATTCCATCCCCCTTTTTAATTCTCTCATCTAATCTAACCTACAAATTTGATGATTTTATGAGGACATTCTATGACATCTCTCTCTTATGCAGTATTCACTTTCATGTCAATATTTACTGTTAAGTACCATATTTACTCATGTATAAGGCGAATTTTAAATGCATATTTTACTGAGGTTGATGAGGGGGTGTGCCTTATGCTTGGGATACAAAATGTCTTTTTTTGGGGGGGGAAAACTTTTTTTTCAAGCACACCTATAATTCATTGGTCATTTATTGAGGCAGAAACAGTGTCTATAGTTGGTAAGAAGGGGAAATATAAAATAATGATAATACTAAAAACGGTAAATGGGGAATGGCTATGTCAATCTGCACACAGTTCACTCTGTATTGGAAACTGAGATGTCTGGTGGTGTGGAGAATTCATTCAGGGAGCTCTCATTATCCAAGATGGGGCATTTCCAAAGACAATCATGTCTCTGGGAAATTATTGAGCCCCTGAGGTTTTCCAACGAGGCCAGAATGAAGCTAAATGTTTAAACTGTAAGCTTTGAGGATTTTATTACAGGAGAATGGACTTTCTCTTTTACATATTCAGCCACTTCCTTCTTGATTAATGGAAATGATCCCTTTTTCCCCACCAAAGGCCATGAGATTTGTTTGTGTCCTGCTCAATTTTGCCTTTTCCTTGATCTGCTTCCATTTGCAGCTTTCCCCGATGTCTTATTAATTATTGCATGGATACCTTCACTTCCTGAATCACTTTGATTTTTCTCCTGCCATGTGACTTGGCCCAACATTTCTATCCATTTTCACAGATAATGAAACAAATGTTAGTGACTGTGCCCTACGTTGTGAAAGGTCATCACAGTGAATGGGAAAGTAGGCTTGACCAACCTCACGACCATCCCTTATTCAACACCTTTGTCCCTGACACTTTTTGCTACAAAATAGGGAGGTGCAGCTTATACACAGGAAATCTGTTTTTTACACAAATTGGGGCCTCAAAAGTGGGTGTGCATCATGCAACATGGTGGTGCACCTTACTTGAGTAAATATGGTACTTGAGGTTGTGCAGTCTGTTACTATCTCAAAATGTCTCACTTTGTCCTACAATAATGCAGCACATGCTCAAGTGACTGATACAGGAAGCTGTAAGTGCTAAAATCTTAATTCATGGGTCTCAATTGTCTCATAGTATCACAAAAGAACTCAGGTGGACTTGTCCCCCCAAGGTAGACAGATATATACATATAACAATTCTGTCGTAAAGTGCCTGGTGTCATTAGACTTGGAAAGGGTTTAATGCTTAACCACTACAAACATCAAATGAACTCTTTATGGAGAATATTTCAAAAATATTTTGGCAAAGAATCTATTGATACTCCTATACTGTAGCTTGCCTAAAGCACTCAATGTTAGATATGAATGTAAAAGAAACTTCAAGAGGGTTCAAGCCTCCAAATAATATCCTAATCATTTTTAGCAATATATCATGCAAAACTGATTACTAGAAAAGCATATGTAACATTTCCCACAATTGCTTCACAATTGTGAGAAAAACCTTTTCTATTTCTTACTTTCACACCCACCAATTTCTTTTGTACTGAAAATGTCAATCACACACTGCTGTTCTAACTATGATGTGACTCATATAATCGTGCATCTTTTCTACAAGTTTCATTGCTTCTTTTCTTCATTGCAAACTAACATATAAAATATAAATAAAAAACAATTAAAATACCATTTCAAATATGGTATGAAAAATTCAGTCTGAGGCTGATGAGGTGATAATTTTCCTTCCCTCCTTTCTTCTTTATTGCTCTCACATTAAAAAACAGAATGATTCACTATCATGAGCAAATGAATTTGATTCTAGTCATGTTCATGAAAGTGCCATCTCCAACTCTCACCATGAAGCACTACTCACCAAAGAAGTTGAGTCTTGCATGAAGCATGACTTATTCACACTACTTAGTTGCAGACAGGGATCCTAGCTATTTGGTTTTGGTGCATTTGTTTGTTGCATCTCTCATCTGAATGAGGTTACCTAAAAATTTTCCTGAGAACTTCTGAGATCTGATACCCAATAATGGCATCACTCATAGAGTTACATCCATATGAAACGCTAAAGGCACAAAATCTGATCTAGGGTTATTGGCAAGCCTGCTAATACCACAGGAACTTTCTGCATGTTTCAAGAGATTAGTGCAAATTCTACCACTACTGGATATGCCAAAGCCTTTAAATGCCAATTTATTAACTAAAGTTTGAACCCTATTGCAGTATACTTACCAATTTTGATTTAGATGCATGACCTTTACAGAGAAATGTCATGCTGTTTTTACATTGCAAGAATATGTTGCCTTGGCTGTATGCTGCCTGTAAACTTGTGGGGTTTTGCATGTGTCTAGTCAGTTTTGTGCAACTTGATGTCATTACCCATCATTGGGTGTTGCCATTGATGTCATGGCACTTCGTGAATAATCTCAAAAGCAGTGAGTAGACATGGAAAATGCAAAATTTCTTTCCTTCCTTGATTATCTCATAAAAAAGGAATAGTGATTTCAGGTAGGAAAATAGGGCCACTGACATTACATGTTTCATTTTACCTCTGCATTGATTCATATCTGACATTGAAGTATCGTGTGTGCTGAAAAATTCTTACTCGAACTGCATTTTTTTAATTCCCATTTTTTTTAGGTGGAACACCCATTTTATGAGTCTATGAAATGAAGGCCAAATCAAGTCAAATCATTTTGCCTGATTGCCTCATTCTCACGTTATGTTGAAGCAGTCATTTCTCATAGGATCTAGTTAAAACATAATGTGTGATGCTGCCCATGTGTTGCAAAGTTGTTGTATGGTGTACCTCTAAATAAACCCATGATTAAAAAGCCATCCCCCAGTTGTCTCCTTGCATATATCTTTCAGACCCACTTTTCACCTAGAACCTAAGTTTAACCCATTTGTGTACAAAGCCAGCAATTGACATGACTGGTGTTTAAAATTACTTTACTGGCAAAGAACATTTGGAAGTGACCAACTCAAGTAAAAACCAGAAACAAAAGTGCATTATAAGCATAAAAGTAAAACGTAATATTGTTTATAGGGACTTAATATGGGACCTGTGGCCAAGTGTGCCAAATTAATCAGTGTTTCTAGATGAAAAATGTCATTTTAAATGGTATTCCAATAGATTAAAGAGAAATAATGATTTATAGAATTCATCAGTTCTTGTGGGGTTACCCAAGCAGAGTGCCAGTAGGCAGCAGTCACCTTTGACCTGTATTTAGTCATAAATCATTGGGACACTTTGCACCAGGTGGAGGTATTTATCATCAATAACTCCTTGCTAAATTGTCAAAAACTCAACAGAATATCCCTTTGTAATAATAAAATAGGGTGCCACAGTGGTGGGTCATGTTGACTGTTGACAGAGATTACAACAACTATTTAAGGTCTAGGATCCAAAATGGGCAAAAAGTTTTCTGAAGTACATTTTCATTTCACCTAAAAAGAAAAAAGGGAAAATGAATTGTTTAAAAAAATTTAAGCAGTGTAGATAGAACCTTCTATCTTTCCCACATCAACATATCAGGAGTCCTCTCATTGCATCCTGATGGAAAGATTCATGGGACAGGCAGCTTTCCATCCATAAGAAATTTATATTTTTGCTGCACAAGATTCTGAGCAATAAAAAGGGGAGAAGGAGCTATATATATACCCAAGAAGATTGCCAGAGGGATGTTTTTTTTTGGAATTAAATACTAAGATGGCTATCATGGGAGAGTTTCTAACCAAGGACTTGTTTCTTGCCTATGGTATATCTACAAACCTAGTGTAAATAAAAGCAAGGGATGTCTATTTCTTACTTAGCAATTTGGGGTGATAATAAATCAAAAAACGATGCAATGCAGTTCATGTTATTTATTAAATGTGATAAATGATGTCATTTACCTTCTATGGCCTTTGCAAAGCAGAGTGAAGTCCTTTGATGGTTATATCCATCTCCAAGTTCATCCCAGATCTATTCCAATATATTACACTTACAGCAGATCAGTTTTTGTATTGATAACTCTTTACAAGTCAATATTACTAGGGGTCATGGCTCCCCACAGTGAAAGAATCTAAGAGAACTACAGTTAAGATCTTTATTTGATAAACCCCATTGCCACAAGTGAAACAGTCCACATGCAAGAGAATCCCTGCAATGCTGTAATCATTCGGAAGAGAAATAATTTTGCCAGACATTTCTAGCACAAAAATGACCTGGGAAAAAATACAAGACAAGAATTTCTCTTCCTCTTATGAACCCAATCACCTTGAAAAGGAGCCATAAGGATCCAAAGAGAAGAAAAGAAGCAGTGCATATATGGGATCCCAAACTAAAATAAACAACTTTCACAAAATAGTACTTGTAATATAATATTATCAATACCTTTGCCTCACAAACAGGATAGTTTAAAATTTCTTCCTCACTTCTTGAATCACTAACTCAACCTGGGAGATATCACGCAAAATAGAACATGGTGTGAACATGGGCAAACGGGGACTTGGCCAGAGCATCTGAGCCAAATGCTTCAAAATTTCTAAACTCCTCCTCTCACATCAAATCCTCTCTAGTGCAGAACAACTACACACATGCACTCTCATTCAGATGAAATCACAACTCGGAGTGAAATATTTGCGGATTCCCTTGAACCAGCCTTCATACAAATGTCTCTCTGTCTAATGAAAGGCATCATCAGTATCCTTGGCGGGTGGGGTAAGGCTGCTTGAGGACACGAGCCTTGGAAGACAACATCATGGGTTCTCTGTTGGCATATGATGCTGGATCAACGAATATGGGACCTCTTTGAACCTCTCCCCCTTGATCCACTTCACCACTCGCCTATCCAAAAGGATAATTTTTTTAAACTCGAGAGGTGCTGAAAACATTTAAACCTTGTTTTTGCACAACTCAGACATTCACAACTCACCCCTTCAGAAGTAGCAGAATCCTCCCTTGGGGAAGAGACAAAATCTACTGGTTCTGTGCCAGTTTCCACTGCAAGACAATCAAAAAGGTCAAAATATAGATATCACTCAAATATGAAAACTTCTTTCAGAGCAAATACTTACAAGGAGGTGGAATGAATAAGTTTGAAGGAAGATTTGTTGATGCAAGAGGCAGCACTGGAGGGATGGGTGCTGGGGCTGCATTTGATGAGCCTCCACCTTTGTTGAACACATCAACATATGGCCTCATACCTGTGAAGTAAAAAAAAAACCTTTAGAAATGCAAAATAATTGGTATATGTTTTATTTCAATTTTGAGGAATACACTAAACACATTCTCAAGAGACAAGATAGTGGAGCTGAACCTCTCTGGCGCTTGAAGCGATTGCTGACTGGTGGCGATGCAGCAGGTTGAGAAGGACCCTGGATGGCCTGATTGTGCTGTCCCTGAAGCATGTCAGATTTATGCTGAACAAGTTCCTCTGGTAACAAGGACAGTTCAACAGGAGTGCCAGATGCAACTGGACCAGATGGAGCAGAAGCAGACAGTTGAGCCGATGCAGGTGGGAGGCTCTGAGGCTGAGGTTCAGCTTGAGTCTGAAGACTTTGACTTGCAAGCTCAGTGTCTTTAGGAGGGGGTGGGGGTGGCTTGTTACTTTCACTCTCTGGCTCATCCTTGTTTACCCATCGTCTCAGTTTTTCATCCCAAACAATCTAGAGATCAAAAGAAGAATACACTGGTAATAAAAAAAATTGTGAGACAAAAGCAATAGAATATGACAGATGCATAAACATTTCTTGACTTACAGCAGGATTGGTGTCTGCAGGAAGAATCATCTGATTCTTGGGCCTCGATGGAAGTTTTGGAATTCGGAAGAAGCCACCAAACCACCCAGCTCCCACACCCTTCTTCCCAGAGGATGAGGTATCAGAGGAGACTAGATTATTCTCCTTGGATATCTTTTCATCAGAGACTCCACCCATATTGTTAGTAGTTCCACCTCCACTCCCTGTACTTGACTTTCTCCCAAAATCACCACTATGTTTATTGCCAAAGCTTGGGCGGCGGTCAGACAGAAGGGTACCACCACTAGGACGTCGCTCTCCACTGCCAGTGGAATGAACTGATGACACTGATGCCTATGAATATACAGAGAACTTGTCAGGTGTGGAATGATTGTAGTAGTAAAGGTATTTACAGCATAATGCAATTCTCATGAATACAGAACCAAGGAAATAAAAATTATAAGAAGCATAAGATTGTAAAGAAAAAAAAAGAAGCCTAATAAAATCAACTTTGGATGTCAATAAAAAAAAGCAGGTGGCATGCTGGAAAGTGCATTCAAAATGTACAAATCACTGTGGCTCAAGTCCCTCATCTTCATCAGGAGCAGCATTGTCATAGTGAGTACATGAATGACTATGTTTCTTTTACACCTTCACAAATTTTACACAGGTATAGAATAAATATTCAAGCACTCAATAATTACAATACTGCAACTGAAAGATAGAGCTGCAGAAAGTATTCACCCCACAGGGGTAAATGCTTTCTGCATGCACTTCATAGATCAAAATGGTTCCTTTAAGGAACAGCTACAATCAAGAGAAACAAAAATGCAACACACAAATCTTCAGGACATGAGAATGAATCTGCAAGCATCCTAAATAATACACATTCATATAGCTCCAAAAAATATGACAGAGGAAGTACATTGCAGCACAAGTGTCACAACCAAGGATAAAACCTGCCAGAACCAAAACCAGGAAATCTGGCCATCATAACCTTGGACATTTTCTGAGATACCAGGGGTACAGCTGAACTTTCTTCCTCATCTGAGGCTGCTTCTGATAATGCAGACCAGCCATACGTCTCACCAGAGCTCTCAGACAGAGTTTGCTTTGATGAGGTCATTGATTGCATGCTCTTCTTCCTGGGGATACAGACAGACTTGGCCTCTTCATTGTCTCCTTTCTCCATTCTTGAGATCTGTCGCTGAATTGGGACTTTTGGAGAAGAGGGTATAACCCCAGCCAGGGCATCTTGAGAAATAACTTCAGGGTCGGCAGCAAAGTTGCTTGATAAGGCAGGGTTTGCTCCAGTGCAAACCAGAGGGGAGCCCAGGACCTGCAACAGATGCTGTGCACACATTGGTTGGTTGGGAGCAATGTGATCTCCACTTGCAGTGTCTTCAGAAGATGTTGATGGAGTCGGAGATAAGACCAGGCGCACAGGACGCATTTGCCTCACTTTGATTGCCACCTTTTTTGCAGTAATATGAATTCTCTCTGAAACCTCATGCTCCTTCTCCTTAGCAGACATGAGAGGATGCCTGTACTCAGCAGCATGATGGGTCACAGGGGTATTACAACCAGGCAGATGAAATGGGATGGATGAGGAAATGGGCAAGACTGGGTTGGATAAGTCTCCAGAAGGAACTGATGAGCAAAAAGGAATCTGACATGCTGCAGGCAAAGGGACAGAAGACCAGTGTTGCAAAGCTGATCCAAGCAGACACAAAGATCCATTCTTAGGATGTAGGGAGTCTATTGTAGGACAGGGTACACGTGGGGCAGAATGGTATTGGGCCAAGGGATCATTTGCATGCAAGTTTGCTGCAGCAGTCTGGAAATCAATGGATGTACCAGGTTTCTAAGATGGTCCACATTGTTTGAGCACCGTTTGCTAGACAGAAAAATCAAGATAATGTCTGAGATCAGGCTACAATTACAGGAAATCAGCTCACTGTGCGTGATGCTGGGGGCCTGGTCATGGCATCCCAGTAGTTGAAAGACTGCTGGTGAGTAGTAGGTACTGAAGTTGATTCAGGGTAGACATTCAACTGCTGTTCCTGTGACAGATGTTCCATGGATGTGCCATTGGGAAAGGAAGGCACAGATGGCAACATGCCCTCATAAGAATTTCCAGTTGACCATGGAGTTTCCTGCTGTGCATGTCCCTCCATCAATGAATGTCCATCACTCAAGACATGTCTGCTAGTTTCATCTAGGGAGGGAGCTGGAAGATAACACATGGATCAGCAGACTTGATTCAGCAACGTCACATTCCTATCAGCTTTAATCCCTTTCTCACTGTAATGAGCTAGGAACATGTAAGTGCCAGATACAATAAGCTGAATTATTTGTATTTTGATCTGAAATTGGCCAGAGACACCAGAAAATGTAATATAAAAGTTCCTTACACAGACTGTGTAGAGTTAAGAGCTTCAATGAATTTGACACATGCATAACTTCATCATGTGAGGGAATAAATGGTTTTGAGCCTGATTCTTAGCAGAAAAATTAATTTAAGAAATATGATTCTAAACAAAAGTGTGGAGGCATATTAGTCAGAAAAGGGGCTGTGCAGGGCTAATATGAAGGAGATGACAATGACTCACGCATTGATGGGACTTGATTTAAGAATGGTGTGTGAAGGAACCCCACACCATTTTCTTGCTGGGATTCCTCAAGAGAAGCACCTTGACCATCAGAGTATCCTATGTAGGAGGATTCTTGGGTGCTTGAATACTCCAGATGATCTTGTCCTTGCAGTGGACCTGGTAAGCTTGTATCCACTGCTGCCTGTGTCTGTTCTTGTGTCTCACTCAGTTCCTCTTCAACAACTGCACTTTCATGCTGAGGATGTGAGACATCTTCAAGTGCATGCTGAGATGGCAATCCTCCCTAAAGCAAAATGTTTCACCACATGCCTTACTGATATAGCACTGTACCATGGCAGCAAGATAACTTCCACATACCTGTTCCACAAAAGTCCTTAAATTGAGGAGCCATTCTGGAAAGAGCTCAGGATGAGCAAACTCCATGCGGATGGATTTCAGCTGCTCACCAAGCCTAACCATATCCAAAAGAAGTGACTTCTCAAAGTGGAATGAGAATCTATGTTGGAGAACAACTTCTGCCATGCTCTGAATGTAATCAAATGCAGCCTCTGTGTTGCCAATGTCCAACAGAGCTATGACCTTCTGCATCTTGAATGGCTGGAAGAGAAGGCACCAATGATGTAGTGACATCTAGACAGAAGTCCTCTATGCATGTTTCACTGGCAGCAGAGAAAGGTGCTGGTGAAAGCTTACCACAAGGTGAGGGAGACTGAAGCTTGGATCACCCAACTGCATTCCATACTCATACAATTCACTCATGGCAATATGTGATTCAGGGGCATGACCTGGTATAGCCTCCAACATAGGAGAACCTAAAAGCACAAGCTTTCCTCCTATATCCCCAGCAGAACTGTTGAAGGGCACTCTTGCCAACAGGTAGCAGAGTTGGGATCCATATAGACATCCTCTGGCACCTAATGATAAAGTCATATAAACCATAGAATTGTACCTGTTAGTTGTCGTGATGACAAGCTGAGATTCTTTTACAGGAGCCTTGTAAGTATACTCTCTTTGCACAGAGATTGTTGAACAGGATGGTCCAAAAAATCCTGGACTCCACAACAAACAATAAAATATCCAAGACTGTTACATGAAATAAAATGTTAAACTTTACACATTCAATGTTTCCAAATTCGAACAGAGCATGAAATTGGAAAAATGCAAATTTTGCTACATTTGAAAACAGCATTTATGAGTAAATCTTGGAATATATAGCAAATTCAAAATTTTCTGTTTACATGTTCTTTTTCAATTTGGAAATGCTCTGTGTGTAAAGGTTAATAAAAGCATGATAATAGGATCAGCAATACTACACGTCAACAGAGCTTAATTTAATGTGCCAAATCTCCAGCAACTGTAGCAAAATTTCAATGTAGCCTCCATCTTGCTCAATGCACACTGCAATTCATCCTCTGAACTGATCACCTATTTCGGTTTGATCCAGGAGTTCCTGGGCTTCTTTAACATACTGGATGAGGTGGTCTTCATCATGAACAGCCCTTCAGCCCTTTTATACACATGTTATCATGTGCTTTCCCAAGACCAATAATTCACCAGATTGATATTAGATTCATTTACGAACCTCATGTCACATAAAGTCAGAAATGCATTTTGTCCTGACTGCATACAACCTGACTTAACTAATAATTTCATCTTACTTAAATCTTGAGAACTATCATGAAAGGGAAAGAATGTGTCAACATGTGTATCAAGATGCCTGGGAACTCCTGAATCAAGCCTAAATAAATACAGCAATTGAGCAGCTTAGAGGGTACTTATACAACAATACTTTGAATATTTTCAAAAATTTGGCTCAAAGGAAATTGAACTTTCTGACATAGCCTTGCTATAGGTACAGACACACCTGTGGCACAATTTCATTCTATCCAACAGTATTGGACTTTTTTTTCTTACTTTGAGAATATTTCTTGAACCACCCTATACAAGAAAGCATATGAGGCTATAGAAAAAAAGGTTAGTAGTCATTGGCAATACAGAGCACCCAAAGTTTATGAATCTAAAAAGTTTGTGCGCTTAACATCATGCAAAAGCCAATGAAAGCATAGGTATTGTACCAGAAAACACAAGATGAGTGACACCTTTCGATACACTTCATAAGATGAAGATCTTTTATTGTGATACTGATGAATAAATAGCTGAAACCAACTTCTTGGCAGCAAGCAACTCTAAAGGTCTTCCTGACTTATAAAGGGATATTTCACTCTGCTAGCAAGATAAACCTAAAAAAATATATATCCATCAAGATAGGAAACCAAATCTCAATTGGCTTGCTCATGCAGAACTTAATAAGTAAGTGATTAATTTTGGCCCAGCAATGACAGCACTTCACCTAGCTGTCTATTCACCCCACAAAGAACAGGTGAGCTTCCTTCCATTTTCTCATAGACCATTTCTTCTCATATTCCTCCTGAGTCTTACTCAATTTTTTCCTCTTTTAAACCTCTGATAACTTCCAACAGCAGGAAATAAATGAAAGAGAATAGCAGGTCTGGAGAAAAGCATTGGTTGAGAATAAAAAGAAGAAATAGGGAAGGGAGTGCTTGAGGGGAAAAAAGCTCTGTACAAAAAGGTACTGCAGAAGGACAAGGAATTGAAAAAAAAAATAGTAGAGAGATTGCATGAATATGCATCATAATAAACCCAAATGCTCTTCAGTGTTTGCTTTTCTGATGGATTAGGAATAGTCTCATAGATGAATACCATACTACTAGGAGAAAAAAATAATTAAACCTAATTTCAAAAAGGGCAGAGATAACACAGAAATAGACTTGAATGGTTTGCAAGATGAACGAAAGTAAAGGAGCAATAACAGCATGGGCAAAGCTTCTTGATGTTTTTTCCCCATTTGCATAACATATTAAAGGAGCAAGGAGGCAGTGAAACAGGTGACCTCATCACTCAATTGGAATTTACTAGTATCATCTTCACAGAAGCTGTTCAGGTGACAGCTAAAAAAAAAGATTTGATTTCCTCTCATGATTCTCATTTGCATCTGCTATCAGAGTGAATTATTCCACTACCACTTTGGCTACCATTAAACCCACCAGTGGGTGGACCAAAGATGTTTTTCCTGCAGGGCTATTTAGTCCACTGATGGGCTAAATGCTGCTTTTATGTCTATATGCTCATAAATATTTTGGCTGGGCAAGAGGATTTGGATGCTTGTGCTATGCCCTCAGAAGGATGTCTATTGTACTAGTATATAGGAAAAGAGGCTATGTTCACAGATGTTACACAATGTTTAAAACAATATTAATAAAACCTGCAGTTCTATTACCTAAGTTTTTGTAAAGAATTGCATTACTGATATGTATAAGGAACTGTTGAAAGCTTCACAAAATTATGTATTGCACTTAGCAATCACTTTGATTCAAAAACTAAGCCAAAAATTGGAAATTTTGGCTGCCACTTTGGTGATCAAAATTACAATCAAAGAATATAAATACATCAATATACAGGATGAGTCAAAAGTCACTTGATGACTTTGAACAGCTGTAACTTGGCAAGGAAGGCATTAATTGGCAGTTTTTTTACATAAGAAAGGGTGAGTGCTAATTAACAGTGCAATGTTAAGTAGAAAAAAAAAAACATTAGTTTTTTTGGTGTAAAATGACTAATTACCAGCAATGATACTGAGCATCATCAAGCTCAATCACACGAGCTGTCACCAAAAAGGCAACTCCAGCAATCTTCTCAGTGATATGTTGCTTCAGCTCAATGATCATGCACCAATTTTTGGCATATACCTGGTCTTTAAATGTCAGGATAAGATAGGCCAACCTATCTTATCCACCTGTCTTTAAAGCAATACAATGCTTCGATTCTGAAAGATTTCCTTCACAGATAGAGAAGAAATACATGACAGCGACACATTCCTCCAGGAAACCATTTGGAGCAGTAAAAATTAACAAAAAATAACTGCAAATAGGACATCCATAGTACCCTTAAATATCAATTTCATGCTGGAAACTGTTGCTTTTCATTTTGTGCTGACTCATCCAATATCTTATTAGTATTTTATGCAAATGTCCATGTTGTTTGGTCATTTAACCCTTTTGGCATCCACCTGAATCATTATCCTGCAGGAAAGCACGCAGGCTCATCCCAAGTAAGTACTTGGGAAGATGCCAAAAGGGTTAAGGCATGCTCTTTCATATGCAAAAAAGAACTTGAAAATTAATGCCTTCCTTCCTATCTGAGTTATAGCTGTTCAAAGTTGTCCAGTGACTTTTGAGACACCCTGTATAACTATTGGTATATAATTTATCTAATATATATAGATGATCGTACTGAGTGACTGACTAACACTAATTCTAACCATGTTCCTGAGAAGTTAGAAATCTGAAACTTGGTATATTTGTACCTTTTGGGATGCAGAGTTCAGAAAAAATCTAACTTTGGAGGTACATGCCCTGGGGGCACCCATTTTGGGGGAGATATGCTTTCAATGATATATATTTGCTTCAGTCAAATGGAGAGGGACATGCATACTGAGACACATCAGTTCAGGAAAAATATCAAGTTTCAGATGCATGAACTGGGGGCATAATTCTGGGGGGTGATGTTTTCAAAATATTTTTTTTTTGTCCTACCAAATTGTGCAGAAATAGGTGAAACTTGGCACACCAATAACTGAGGTGACAGTGAATTTAGAAAAATTTAAATTTTGAGGTGTATACTCTCAGGGCACAGCTCTTAGCTACATCGGCTTTTCCAAATATATTTTTGCACCAGCAAAAAGAGCGAACGGATGAGGCTGAAACTCGGCATGTATTTGGTTCTCTGAGTACTGATTTCAGTCAAAATAATTTTTTTAGTAAAACCCCTGTAGGCACATTTTTTTTGCAAAAGGTGCACTTTCAGGAATTCTTTCTGATAAAATGAAAGAGGGCACTAAAGAAATTGGAATTTTAGCTCAGAAGTATCGATACCTGTTCGATTGCTGAGTGCAGATCATACTTTTCAAATATGACCCCTCAGGGCAGATTACAATGAGATTTGAAGTTAGGCATGCATGAAATAATTGGTGTAATTATTTAGATAAAAAATGGGTTCGTTCTCTCTCGATAATCATTTCAAGAGGCACATACTTTTAATGTTTTTGCCACCTTGAAAATAAATTAATGAATGAATCACTACAGGGTGCGGCAAAAGTTCTGGAACCAACTCTTTCAAAATCCTTTAATGGAAACAAAACGAAAATTCACCAGCTGAAGGAATATGATAAAGGAGACATGACAGAACACCGCTTTAGAGATAATTTTCAAAATGACCACCTTTGACTCTAATGAGAGCATCCAAACGATGAGGAAACTGGTCTTTGATGGCACGCAACTGTGTTGCGTGGATTTCCTCCCAGGCAAGAAGCCTGATCATGCCCTAATGAATCCACACTTTTGCTAGCTTTTGAGCAAACTTTTTGCTGCAGCATTCCCCAAACGGAATAGTCTATTGGGTTTATGTCGGGCGAGATGGCCATCCATTCGTCCAGGGTGAAGATTCTCGGACAATTCTTTAGGAGAAACTCTTAAGCAATCTTGGCTTTGTGGGATGGTGCAGATTCTTGTTGAAAAATCCATGCTCATTGTTCAAAATGTTGTTGAGCCCACGGAATGAGGACTTTCTCCAAGACAGTCTCAATATAAATTGGAGTGTTTATTTCGACGCCTCTCTGAATGAAGACCAGTGGAGTCGTTTATAGCGCAAATGCCTCCACACACCATGACTGAAGGTGGAGCTTGCTGCCTTTGGATGATTCAATGGTCGATACTGCCTGCAGAGCGATTCTGCAGGGCATGAACATTTTGCGAGTTGAAGACTTCCTCTGTCGTAAAAAGTTTCTCATCTAAAAAGAGAACCAATCTGTGACGGCCATTTGCGATCAGATGTTTAATTAATTTCCCCTTGCGAAGTTGTTCCGCCATTTTTTCAGTCAACCTTTGGGCCTTCTGCTGCTTGTAAGGGCGAAGGTGTAGTTCGTATTTGACGATACGATGCACAGTTTGTTAGTTGGTCTTCAGTTCTCAGGCCATCTTCCTCGTTGAACGTCTTGGATTTCTTTTGATCTGAGATAGAATGGCTTTCTTGTTCTTTTGAGTGTTCGTGCTCCTTGGACGGCCAGCTCTTTGTTGGTCTTAAGCAGTACTCAGCTCTTGAAACCAACCAACAGCTGGCCAGACTCTTTTTCTTTAAATCTCAAGCAAATGTGCAATTTTGACATTTGTCCTTGTGCAGCTTGATTATTGAGATTCGCTGATCTTGTTTAGACATCTTAAGAAAAGAGGATAAAGGACAGAGAAAATTTTTCTGAAAATAGGCAAAAGCTTAGACATTTTGAGAAACAACATTTGATAACATATTACAAGTGATAAACAATGCAAATTCGAGCAAACAAAAATATTTACAGATAGAAATTATGAAAACATTCTGGTTCCAGAACTTTTGCCGCATCCTGTATATTGAACAATGGAGCACTGAAGGCGCAACCATAGCAAGTTTGTTTGCTCAAATGACAAACAAGTAAGGATATATATTTATACATATTGGAAATATGTGTCAAAATATAATCTGTACCTTACCAGGTAACATCCTTAATGACATTAAAAATAGTACTCCAGTGGATCATGATGCTGACTGAGCTCATGACAGAACGACTAAACATGTTTCAAGATTTAGGACACTGGTGGGTTTAATGATTTCCGAGGTGTGTAACACCACAAGGAGGATATAAGCCCAGCAGTGTCCTAATGAAACTGAAGCCAGTGACACCAGCAGTGTGTTATGATAAGCAAAATGATGAAAATAGAATCTCATTTTGGCCAATTTTTACTGTGTACTGGGTTTGGCCTCAGTTGTTGTCATTGTTGAACTGGCAGAGTTGCAGATAAAAACACCAAAAGTTCAAAATGAAATTTTGCATTGGCATACCTGCCCTACAACTGAAATTGGCATTCAAGAATCAGTGGTCACTAGTTATCAACAAATCTGGAAACTTACCCAAAGAATCACCCATCTTCTCCAGCAGCTGCAATACAGATGAGCCTTCATTATCCAGATGGGCAATGGTAACAGCAAGATGCTTCCTCCAGTCTCCTATTGACTTATCACCACATCGCTGTGAGTAGGGAAGAGAGTTGTGCGCAATTGCACAAATGAAAGGCTTTATGGGTCCATTGATGGAAACAGTGTTGAGACATTACAGGACTCTAAGTTACACCATGTCTAAGTATGTATCAATCCACAGTGAAGGAAATTACTCATTCCACATATTTCTTCATCACAATTTAGGACTGAACTGATGTAACTGCTTCCGTCCCAAAGAAATTACTCAATATTCAGAAGCAAATGGTGCAAAGATGTATGCCTGCAACACCAGGAGAGACTGACCTGCACTGCCATAGGCATGAACCCAAACAGCATTTCACAGAGGGTACGCAGTGGATCACTGACAGGGGTAGACTCCAAACCACTTCTCACTGCCAAACGAAAGTGATCCTCTCCTAATGCTCTGCCTAGGATCACTGCATGCAGCCACATCTTCTCATTCAGACAGTGCTCTGAATGAAAGAAAAAACCAGCATTTTGAAGTAAACCCCTTTTCCAGAGAGACTCAAAAGTTCTCTAAAACATACCAAAAATCTTCTTTGACTCTCCACAGAGGAGAATGTCTTCAACATCAACCATCCCATCACTGTCATCTGTAAGGTGTGCAGGATTGGGTGCAATGGCTACTTTCTCTCCATTTCCCTCACAAGCTCCTTCCCCTTCAGTCAAGCTATGAAGGCTTCTGGAACAAAGCATCTCTCCTTCTCCTCTGATGTGTTCCCTTATCATCATGGCCACATCCACCCCATAAACCACCTGCAAACAAATCACAGGCAACATCTGCATTTGAAACAAATATTTCAGCAGAACAACAACAACAGCAAAGCTGAAAAACCCCTCTGACAATCACAAGTGATACTCCAGTAAAACTAAACCATTTCTGCACCATGTCCTACCACACACAATGTGGAGGTGGAATGGAAGGCTAGACATACCCTCACAATTAAAAATTTTAATACAATAAAATCATGGACAGCTAAAGGCCTTTCAGTCTGTAAGCTGTTAATTTTTCCTATAACTGAAAACTGTACTTAGGACAGGGATAATTTCTGACATGGAACTGAAACTGGAAATTCTTGGAATCTTGACTGAAAGGTTAATGATAATGTCAAGTTGATAAGCAAGAATAACTGTTTTCCTAGAGGAACATGTTCACCTTAATGCTCACTGCTGTGCTAAATTTCCTTGTAGCACAGCTGGTTGCTTCAAGATCATAATGGAAACTTTTAGACATAAAAAACCATTTTTGTCATTTTGTTAGGATATTCTGAAATCATGCAGTGGTACATGTGCTGGAAGTAATGATCCATAGACATGGACAGCAAGCATAATCACAAACCTCACTCAGCTACTTTTGATCTCAAAAAGTTTGCAAATGGATCATACAAAATTCTCTACATCATATACACTGAAACTAGGTGTGACCCTTTCATGGTCAAATTTTTTCTTAAATGTAAATGACAAAATATATTACATTTTCATTACATTTTCTCCCACTTATGGAGGCTTTCATTTTGAGAAATTCCAGACATTCTGTAAATTAATCAAAAATGTAATCTGCATATAGGTATATACAATACATGCATACCTATAGGTAAGTTCTTGGTATTATAAACTATATATACAGGTATATTACTGAGAGCTGACCTCTTGTACAAATAGTCTTAAAGGATGTAAAAGATAACACAGGAAAATTTTTTTGCTTCCTACCCAATTTTGTCCCATAATTATCATGAAATACTTTGCTTTTTGTGATTGTTGCCTGAGCAGGTCACATGCTTACATATCTGCTTCAAAATGGCTTCCCTACATGCCTCATGGGTGCCAGCTAAAATTTTTCACTGAGTTATCTTGGTGACCAGTAGAAGATATGAGTGTGATATAGTGGGAGGAAGCCTTTCCAGGACACTGAGAGGGTCAAAACTTTGCTGGGAAGAATACTTCCCACTGCCCATGAAAGGGTTAACAAAAGACCTGCAGGATAATGTTATTTTTTACTTATACTTATCATTTTGCTGAGTGTGTTATGCTTTGAGTAGAGCCATGTGGCACCATCATGATACTGAGACTGTGGGTTTCTGCTTCCTGCTGTCACAGGGGTGGGCAAACATTTTTGCTTTGAGCATCATAAAAAAGACATAAAAGCCTCCATGGGCCAAAGTAGTTTAGTTTTCCTCCTGAACAACCTCAGGCTTGGAAAACATATCCTATTGTTGTGCCTACAGATCCCTTGGCTGTCTGTGCACTGTTAGGTGCCCAAATAGTTGGAACAAGCTGTAACACTTGATCCCTTAGAGGGGTTCACTTATTCATGCTGGGAGGAAAGTCTGAGCTGTCACTGCAGGCTGCATTTCATTGCTGCAGGTGAATCATTCAAAATGCTGCTATGGGCTACATCCAGCCAGGGGACCATAGTTTGCCCACCCTTGTGCTATCAGCTCAACATGCAAATTTGATAATATGCATGAGGTTTTTGATTAAATATAAATAAATAAAATTTAAAATTTTTAGTTGCAGAAACTCCATACCAGTTTTCTGCACATTATAACTTATAAAACTCATACTTCGTACTTTTGTTCAGATTCAGTACTTGGCACAGAACCACTCAAGAAACTGTCAAGTACTTCTGTATGGGACTAAGATAGGAGTATGATATAGATATATATTTGACTTCTGAAACTCATCAGAATTCAGTGGCAAAATGCAATTCATCCCAGAAGAGTGAAATTTCAGGATGGAGACATTTCACACTCAGGAAAATTCCCTCCACATTTATTCATGGAATGTTAATCCATTACACAAAAATCAAATTAACTGGGATGTGAATGCTGGAGATGAATTTTTATCAGAGAAGTTTCAAGTCTTCAACTATGGTAATTTTGGAAGCTGGGGTTTGTTCACTGGAGGTGTTTTACCACACAGCTATCATTCATAATTTCAGGTCTAGAAGAAAAGAGTTTTCACCTCCATATTCATTTTGGCTAGTCTTGGGGATTCTGACTCGAGGTTATGATGGCACTTTCACAATGATATAGTTTAGGGCATATAAGTCTAAAGAGGAGTAATCATGCTTACCCCATTATGCTTGATAAGGAGCATGAGATAATCCCACATGAGGAGTTCATCAGCTTGTGTTACAGGATCCAGCCTATCCATCTGCTGCTTACAGTACTTCATCACCAAAACCTTTGGGCTGGTCCTGAAAGGCAAGAACATGCAATTAAATGCACCATTGGCACTGGCAACATTTCACAAATTAAATACAACCTTAGACCAATTTAATTTCCAGCAGCAGAAAAATGTTAGTTTTTCTTAAGATTGCGGAGCAGCTTACCGTGTCAGTGGACCAGGAAATGCTCTGACAGCTGCAGCTCGTCGATCATAATCCTTGAAGACACCCTTGGTGTCCAAGATGTCTATATTATTGTCAACTGATGGAGCCAAACGAATCAACCGGTTGTTGTTCCCAAAACGAGCTAAAATCAATTATATCCTGGGTCACCTTCTTTCATATCAAACAAATAGGGTTTATAAATGTAACCACAGCTTACCAATGCAGTGAACCCCTGTATATTTGTGAGGGATGTAAGGGCTTTTTGGCTTGGACTTCCCAACATCACCTTCTGCACTTGAAACTGACCTCTTCCCATCTCCTGTCTCAGATGCCCTGGAGAATGAATAGCATGATAGGAAATGCCATGTGTGACTTTGGAGAGTGAAGGCTGCAGAGTGACTTCAGCAAACAATCCTTGAGAAAGCCTCCTCTCCTTCTTCACAGAAGTCATCTTAAAATCTTCTGTTGCTATAACAGCTTTTTTTCTAAATAGTGTACTTCAAAATAATCAAACCTTAATCCTCATCCTAACATGAAAATGCTCAATGAAGTAACTGCAATGCAGTCTTCAGCATGCACAACTCTTGCAAAGGACTTACAGTATGTGTCAAAATTAACGTACCAGGTTTATCTCTTGTTCAACAAGAGATGTAGGAAAACCTTTTATATCAACAGAAAGTACATACAGAGCCCTGATCTCAACACAGAGTATAATCGCCCTGCGCTTTGACTACAGCACAGAATCGGCCTGGCATCAAGTCTGTCAATTATATGGCGAATTCTTCACTCAGATTCTCCCACTCCTCCATAATTATTGCTCTTAAAGTATTGATCATTCTGGGTTGCCAATGTGCTACTTTGACCTTCAAGAGGGCCCACACATTCTCTATCGGGTTGCGGTCAGGAGACTGCGATGGCCAGTCCAAACAGAACACCCCATTCTCAACCCTCCAGTTGGTTGCCTGCTTAGAAGTGTGCTTTGGATCGTTGCCCTCCTGCAGCACCCAAGTCTTCATTGAATTGGGAAACATAGTAGCTGTAGAAGGCAAGAGGGCATGCTCATAAATGATATTCAGCAGATGCACACCCAGGTTCTGGGTAAAGGTGCAGATCTTCTCAATCCCTTTGGCATAGAGGCAGCCCCAAGCATGCACCTTACCCAGGTGTTTGACAGTCCAAGTGATCACTCTTTTCCCTCAACCATTCCCATCTCTCAATATATTTTAAGCCAACCGGCCTTCACTGGCTTTGAGATCTTTTTGTACTTTGCGATGGCACAGAAGAGAGCTTTGGACACAATGGATGAGTGGCATGAAATCAATATCATAGTGATTCTTCATTGAAAGTAGCATTTTTCCTCATGCTGATGAAAAACAGCTGCATAACTGGGATGTAACGAACTAGTCACCCATTATTTTTAGGCAGATCAGCACTCATGGGCAGCTGTCCTATGCAAAACATTTGAGCCGTGTAGGTTCCCTATCTTTTGAGAAAACCCTGGTACATTAATTTTGATGACCACTGTAGATAAGATATATTCTCCACAATGACACACGGTGGAATCCCTATATTATCTTCATTTCCATGACAACAAATTTTTTTACATTAATATCTCTATCAATATCATTTAGAAGAAAAATGCAAATGCATAGTACAGACTAATGTTTCTTGAAAGTCATCACACATAGACTTCAATTTTCTGGTGCTTCATAGATGGTTCTACAGTGAATTTAAACTTGATTTTTCACACATCTCCCATTTTCACTCTTTGATTACACAACCAAGGAATAATGCATTTTCATAACATAAGCCATTTGAGAAGATCCAGTGAGAGAGAATTATGAGAGGTTAACTTGATCGCATCTACTGTATCAAGCAGAAAGGAAGTTTTGATTTACATTTGTTTCTGGTGCCAATGATGTCCATATACAAGGGGTGTTCAGTTTCCTGCCCAAGGCACTTCCAGTAGTAATACACTGTTCTAACTTTTTTTCACAGGAAGACAGAAGTCTTTGAGCATGATTGGAAACTTTTCAGCTCATTTATCGATGATGGAAAGCCTCTATTAATTTTTTTGCATGTGCTACTGAAGAGGCATTAACATTGAAATGAATGCTGTGATGAATTTTCTAACTTGGAAGGAGACAATCAGCCAGGAAATCTTTAAGCAGCTGAGAGTATACTGTCCTACTGATCCTCCCCTAAAAGATCAGCTGGCTGACATCAGTCAGCTGATGGTTCCTTCAAGGTTATAAAAAAATTCATCCCAGCATTCATTTCAATTTTAATACACCTTCAGCAGATCCTTTGTTAGTACTAAGAAAATTCATAGAGGCATCATCAACAAATGAGCGGAAAACTTTCAGTCACCATCAAAGATCTGTGGCTTCCTAAGAAAAACACAAGAAATCTGCATTACAACCAGAAGTGCCATGAGCCAGAAACCCTTGTATGTTGGACTCAAGTGATAATTGTCATTAATTTCAATCAAATGATTCTAACAACTATCATTTATAGATGTGAGCAGCAGCACTTATGCATCATATGCATGGAACCTCCTCCTTGCTCATTACCTATCCAAATCAAGGCTGAAAGTGCTTCCAGTTCAGCACTTGCAAATCTAAAAGCTTTTTCTATGGCTTTGGTCCCAATTACAAGTATTTCCAGTTTTGTGAGCGTGACAATACTTTTCATGCATAAAATCCTCATTGTGAATCATTTTCACATAGAAAATAGGACTTACTGTCATTTGTTACAAGGGTTACTTATTCAAATTTATGACAAACTTTAAAAGAGAGACATATGAGCATGTGAGATTTATCTCTTATTGATACAAACCCATCTTTCTGAACTTCTTGTGCAGCTTTTTTGATATCAGCAACCACATGACTAGCATATGTCTTCATTTTCTTCATAGTCATCAGGATGTGGGACTCCATCTGGCGATTGTATGCTTCCCATGATGTCCACATAGGTGCAGGCAATCCTAGAGACATGGACCAAAGAGGTGGATTGGGACATTGACATCTCCAGATTAGGTGAATCAAGTGAAATGTATATGAGGAATATTCTTACTTGAAGCCTGCTGCCAGTAATACTCCATAGGATCCCGGAAGGGTTTTCCTTGACTCATGGAACCAAGTTGGCTGGGAGGCCTAGATCTGCAAATGAAAGTTTGACTAACTGGAAGTGCTAATTCAACTCCTTATTACAGAGTATGAAGCTACCACATTTAAGACAAAGTTGTGTAATGAGACACATTTCCTCTAACTAGGTCAATATGAGGAATGAAATTTTTTCTAATTGCTTAACCATGAGATAAGACCTCCTATTACTACATTACTGCATTTCTACATATTAAAGCAGGAAAACAAAACAAGCAGCAGTAACACACATGCATGATAAACTTTGTATCAATGAACCCAAAACTACTTCAAAATTTGATCACTTTTACAATAGCTTCACAAACAAAATGCAACCTGTACAGTGCCATTTTTAATCTCTTTCAATCTATGGGTGTTTGAAGCAAAAACCTCTGAAATATTGGTATGCATGAATAGAATCAAATTGAATACATTCACTTTTACATAGGAATAACGTCGACTCAGTAAAATGAATTCTTATGGTGAAGCTGGACATATCTGGATGACTGAATTTCATGTTTAGAGCCCATTAACTTGTCTTTTAGAGCTGGAAATCATTAACTTAAAGAGTCCCACTGACCTGTCTGATTCATAATATTGCTGGTAGTCATAATATGGTTGATAGAAATCTTCCTCCCTGTGGAAACAAATGGTGAAACAGGAATACCACACATGAAATGAAAATACCAAGTCACAAACATTATAAAACACAAATAATAATAAACCATAAGTGGAGTTTTCAAGCATATGCACCATGCAACTGAAATTTTAGGCAGCTGAAAGCATGCTGAGGCATCAAGAGGCCTGATCTTCCCTGCATTAAGGTATAAGGGTCTTTGATATAAACTAAGACAAGCTGGTGAATGACAAAACCAAACTAGCACATGCAAATCAATACTATTTATATTTGATAAGAATCTACTAGGAGAAATCACAGGAAGCATGCAAACCACCAGTAAATATTGCATTACTTTTTCAATCCCATGAATTTGCTTCAGCAATAATATTAATTTCAATTGATACTGATAAAAAAAGATTAATCTTAACTTTCACAAGTTTTTCTTTCCCCTAGACTCAAAACACCATGTCTGCAACCATAACTGTGATAAACCCCCCCAAACATTAAAAAGGTTTTCCTAACTTGAAAAGTGGGATTGGAATCTAGTTTCTTTTGAATTGGCAATTATAATGAAGTGAAAAAATAAACCTGCATGTTACCAACAGTGTGAATAGATGGAATAGGGGAGTAAAAAGCTTGTGCATTTAGAAATTACTAATTTGGACTGTCACAATACATCATTGTATCAATGTCACTAGTAGGAGGCACTGATGATTAATTAGCCAACATGATGATCCCAACCCTCCCCTCTAGTTCATCTCCTGATCAAAAGATGCAAGAAACAAAAGGCAAATCATCCCCCCCCCCCCCCCCATCACAATGAGATGATCAAGTGGTAACCTGCCCAAATTTGAAGGATGCAAGAAGCATCCCCTTCCACATTGTTCACAGGCAGTAAATAACTTGCCCAATGCATCAACACACTATCAATAGTTCTGGTTGATGAATTGATGTTTTCAAAACAGCTATCATAACAGCTCTGTTAAAAGGCATTGCTGAGCAAAAGTAACTCAAAGCCTAGATCCCTTTTCAGATGCTTTGGTGTAACTCTTTAACATCCTCAAAGGCACCCTTGAAAGTGGAAACATACAAATAATGAATTAAAAAGAATTAAATTGATAAAAAATAATAAATAAAAATTAATTACAACATGATGATGGAATGGATAACTCTTGGTCATATCTATTAATAGGAACTAACTTGTCATATGCCACATCCCTCTCCTTCTTTATGCTGATGTTATCCAAGGATAGTTGAGGGACACCAGAACTATCAACTTCTTCAGGTTTCTCTGGATGATGATGGCCAATCCCATCATGATGGCTCTCATACTGTGCCTTAGACCGATCATGACGGCTTCTATAAGTGGCATCAGTATCACCAGAGGTGTGTCTCTCTCTGCCTGAGGGTATCTCTTCATACCCACGGGTTCTCCTCCTAGAGTATTTCTTTGAATAATAGTCATCTTCAAGCCTTCTCTTTTCTTCACTGAATCTCTTTTCATGCTTCTGTCGGTCCCGAGCATCATAATCATCTCTCTCATACCGTCTCCTCCGCTCCTCACGGGCCCAATCATCATATTTACGCCTGCTTCGATCTTCATCATATTCATCACGGTACCTTCGCCTTCTGGTATCATCAAGATAGCGCTGTTCCTCATCATATCTCCTTCTGCCAGTCCCTTTCCTCCTGTCCTCATCTTCATGCACCTTCTGTTCCTCCAATCGCCTATCATACTTCCGGCTTCCTTCATGACTCTTCCTCTCACCAGATTTCTTGTTGCCATAACCATGTAACCTGTCATATGGTCGATAGCCTCCATCTGCATCTGATCGAGCCTGATCAGGACGAGATGGTCTGTCTTCATCAGATCCATCACCATGCTTCCTATCTTTTTGTCTACGGCTCAAGTCCATTTCACCACTCTCCTCAGAGTCTTCTGTCCCCCTCCGGCTGTGGCCCTTCCTTCGCAGTCCTTGACGAGAAGATCGACCAGCATGTTCACTGCTACTATATATAGAGTCTAATCCTTCATCACTAGACTCTCTGCCTCTTCTTGCATGCTGAGGAATGTGATCATGATGATCATTCTCAATTCCTTCACCTTCTGGGCGTTGTATGGCTTTCACATGAGGCCCACCAAGAGTGCTTCCTTTCTCAGGCACATTTGACCTTTTTGCAGCTGAACGAGAATCTAAACCATCACTTTCACTCCCTATGGTCTCTTTCCTGGGTGGAGGAGTGCATCTTTCAGGCCCCGGCCCTAAATTTAAAGACGGCTCTGCCCTATCAGCAGATATTTCCTCCCAGCTGTCTTTCACAAGTGGTACCTGCAAATAACATTTCATGAGAAAATATAAAGAAAAGTTTCCAAGAGAATCCCATTCTCTTTGACAAAACTTCTCTAAACTAGAGAAACTGTGATAATTGTGAGGCAGAGAAAGACAGTACTGGAAAATGTATTTAAGTCTGATTTGTTAAATTATTATTGCAGACTCTAGCACTGGAAATACAAGCTTGTTTGTTGTAGGTCTGTAGTATCACAAAAACAAAGCAGTAATTATTTCGCTGCTATGATCAAGTTAACTCAAACACAGAAATGTGTAACTTCTTGTGGGATTTCTTCTAGAGCTTCTTACCTAAGATTTTTCAGGACAATCCAAACCAGTCCACTTATACGCTTACATAATAAGGTAAATGAGGGAAAACATATTCTTTTAATAGGGCCCAAAATGTTGCATCAGAAGCAAAAAGCTCAGCACAGGGATGTGTAAAGAAAAACAAAGCAATGGGCTTTGCCACATAAAAAGAATGAGTTTTCTTTTAAGCACAGAATTTCCTGAAGTGGCTTGTTAACATCCTCAAGTTTATGACTTTCACATAATAACTTTTCTAATGCTGCATGCGTAAAAAAAAATTGTATGAGAGTGTCAATCTAACCTTTAATTACTTATCATTTTCATATATAAGAAATCATGCAATCTCAGAGAAAATCAATGTGTATGCATACTGGCATATTCTCAGGACCAAATGAATCAACTGGTAAGCATGTGTGTTTTTAAGCATGAGTACATGCATTTCCAGCATTGTACATAGACCTATGCAGCCCACTAATGGGATGAAGGATCTCCTCAAAGATTTTGGTCAAATCACCACAGAGGACCATAAGTCAAGAGCTATTATTGCAAAACAAATAGATTGAATGATTTATATATACAGACTTTCCATCAATTCAGTGTTATCAGTACAAACAAAGAATAGGTGAGTCACAGTGACTTACAGTGCCTGTTCCATGTGTGTGGGAGTGTGAGTTGTCTTCTTGATACAGAATTTGCTCTCCTGAAGCAGAAAGGTCTCCCATGTACCTACTAGGCATCTGATCAGTTGGACTGACAGAACCAGTAGGGCTTGCCTCACCTATTGTCTCCCCTCTTGCTTCCAAAGTCTGTAGCAGATGAGCTCTTTGTCTATCATCAGCTGAAACTTCCATATCAGGTACAGAAAAGAAAACTGGGGAGTCCTCTGAGTAGGAGCGTCCATCACCACGAGGCACTTGTAAGGCATTTTGGCCAGACAGTGGAAGTGACTGAGGTTGAAACAAACTTGCTACTGGAGTGAGGGAGGGTTCAAGGTCAGGGTGATCAGCTGGCTGGAAGCCATCTCCTTCACGACTATCCAAGCCTAGTTCCAAGACTGCTTGTGGTGGGCCAGGGCTAATATGCAAACCAGTATGCCCTGAATGTGAAAATTCAGCCTCTTCTCTTAGGATGTCAGTGTCCTCTTCAAGATTCACTTGTGACACTCCAAGACTCTCAGGCGGTAAATGAGGAGACCTCTCCGCAGTTTCTGTTGGACTACTCTCATAGGACAATGATGAAGATGATTGAGGGATGAAATGATATGAAGGAACCTGGCCTGGATGAAGAAAAAAAGAATACTTTTAGCAAGCCATTGAACTTATAGGCTTAATTTCTGGAGATTTCCAGAAACCATACTTGACCCAAAGTGAATACCCACCATGCAAATGAGGGAAACAGGGAACTGGCAACCTGCAAGCCCTCTGGAATCAATGAAATTCTGAAGGGTACAGGTTGTCATCCAAGTGAAAAGAGATCTGATGCCAAGTAAATTAACAATGCAACAGTCATCTTTGTAGGAATGATCTGTGCACAAGTGAGTATTCACTTCAGTCCACTTTATATACAAAACCTACAATTTCTTGCATTTCCTTCTTTTCATGATATTGAAGTCCTAAAATCTTTTTTTTTTCCTATCAGCAATAACACCAAAACCAGGCAAAACTGAAGCCCCAGCTTGAAACAAACTACCTAATATCAATTTGAAAAAGTAAAGTAAAGTAAAGCTAGTCTCACAGATTTATGCTTGAGAGTACACACATGGTGGTATACATCTACAAGATAGGTTCAGAAAGTTTCAAGACTGGGATTATTGCACTCAAATGGTGAGAGTCACAGCACTGTTGCTGTGTCACCTTCAAAGTAGTGGCCCAAGCTTGTTCTACACTTTTGCCAACATCTGTAAAGTTCCTTGAAGCAGGACTGGAACCCATTGTTAACAACCTCATTCAATGCTGCCACCATAGTCCTTCATCCTTGGAAAAAGGTAAAAGTCACATGAGGATCCAAGGAGAAAGGGGATATGGCAGTACCAGTGTCAGCTAAGTAACAGATCTCCATCAGTGATCTGTGTGCTGGTGCATTGTCATAAAGGCAGATCTAATTTGATGCTGACTGCTGGCTGACACCTGAAAGGTTGCACATGGTACAACCTAGAAACTGTCACTGGAGTCTCAGTGCATAAACTCTTGGATAGCATATAGGGTGGAATGCTAGCTACACACCAATGTTTGTTTTTGGTATGCAACACAACATTTAGTAATGGTGACTCCAGTCTTGAAACTTTTTCAACCTAGTAGTATATTCAGTGTACAGTAAGTAGCTTGGCAGATTAAACATTACTAGTAAATGGGAAAAAAATGTGAAAAATTGGAAATTCTAATAAAGTTCAGAAGAGTGAATGGAGATAAGGGCTCACCTGCAAATCCAGAAGGCATACCAGAATCAGGCAAATTCATTGTCTGCTGAGCATTACCAGATTCTGTCACACCCTCTTCTTGTTTCATACTATCATCTGCAGCATCTTCAGATACCTGCACCCCATTCACACCTTCGCATATTGATTCAACTCCATCTGATCCAGGCACAATTCCTGCACCACTCACCATGCTCATATCCACATACTCATATGTTTTGCTTCCATCATTGCTTGCATGCACCAAACACATATTATCTACTCCCAAGTCACACTCTGATGGATTAGGTTTACAGGAAAACTTATTATGTTCTGATCCTTCAGTGCACTGCACCAAATCAACTGAGTCAGTCCTGGGTTCTTCTTCAAGAGGTAAAGCACCACACTCTCCTGCTGAGTCCCCATTAACTAAGCTTGTTTCAGAGACATTTAGAATTCCATGGGAATGTAAGGTAAGAATGTCATTCTGCGAAATGTGATTATCCGAAGAGATGGGAGGATACTGGAGATGCTGTCCATCAGGAATGGAGGTGCATGTGAATGGGTCTGTCTCACTGCCTGCAAATACCTGAGTTCCATCACTTTGAAAATCTTGAGGTGCAATTCTCAAATCACCTTGAATATCTTTGGGAGAATGTGCTGCTTCAATAGGCACTTCCTGATGACTGTCAAGGTTCTGTTCCATGCCAAGGCTCTCTTGCAATGGAAATTGTTTCCGAGATCCATCTTGATCGCTTTCAGATGGGGGATCTCCACCTGTTTGGGTTGAGTCACTGCCATTTTCATCAGTGCCCCAGTTCCATGGGTCATCTACACTCCCAGAACCTTCTTCCCCTCCCCAAGACCAAGTATCTTGTTGCTGTTGCGGATACTGCTGGTACTGTTCATAGGTCCCAGCGTTATATGCATGACTAGTATGAGGTGCTTGACTGTTCCAACCCCATTGATCTTGTGGAATTTGTTGATAGTATTGAGGATAAGGGTAACTGGTATTGGACTTCCCAGAGCCTGCATCCTGATAGTTGTGGTGATTCCTTTCTTGAGGGTTGAAATACTGCTGGGATGGCATATGCCCACTGTAGGCATTGGGTTGTCCTTGATTGTACTGGGAATCCCAGCTCCACTGCAAAGAACAAAAAACTCAATAAAACAAACAAGAAAAACGTATTAATATGGTTTTAACACTTATTTAAAGGAACAAAGGACTGGAAAGTGGTAACATCACAAAAAGCATGCAATATGTTGATGACCCAGACAGTAAAACCTCCTATCCCATCTGAACTAAAGGTAATCTAGGAGGCACAACCAGAGATCAAACCTCTAGGTGAGCAAGCAAGATCATATCTATGGAAAGGGTCAACTCACTGGGACTTGGTTAGCCATTGCAGAACTGGAGAATACTGCTTCCCGTGTCTCAAGAAGTCCTTGACATCATGAAGCTCAAACAGATACAAGAATGCATCTAAGTTGTTGATGTTCAGGCAGAATTGGTATCTCCTGAAAGGTTATCCTCCATGCTTTGCAAATCACAAGCAAAGCATATCCACAGTAGAATGTAAGCCACTAAGCCACCCAACCATGAATATTTCTAAGTACACCTTAGTGAGACTCAGAGAAACATTACCTGAAAAATCAATGTGGGTTAGAATTCTTCATTCTTTTTGCACAACACAGTTACTTGACATCCAATCAAAGTTTCAGGTGAAAGTATCCAGATAACTTTGCACCAGCATGCTTATTCCCCTTCTCTCTATTTTACCTGCTTGCTCCTTGTTCCTTGATCCTCCCCCTCTCATGGTTCCTTGTCAATCTCTTAGAAGACTTAAGACCACCTGTGGCCCACTCCCACCCTGCCTTTCATGTATGCAGTCATTCATTCATCTCTGATTGGATCTTTGGGAACCCAAATCACCATCAAGTAACTATTACACATTCTCTTTTGGACATTTGATATGTCTGCATCAGTATAACTCTACAGTGACTAAAAATGGGTATATAGACTCCCCAAGATGCAACAAGCTAAAATAGCATGTATAGAAATTTGACTCGAACAGCTCTACACATCAAACAGACATGCACTATGACTTGGGTGTCAAGTTTCGTTGTCAAGCATACAAATAGCTTCTTTCATAGTTAATGTCTTTGCAGTCTCAAACTAGTAGAAACAATGAGTTGGGAGCATCAAGTAATGGTATTAGTGAAATTCATCACTACACAAGATCTGTCCTCTTTTGAATTAAAAAAAGCAGTGAAGTACTTTACTGGGAAGATGCATGTTAATACAGTCTAAATCCCCACACACAAGCATAAGGTAAGTGTCAAACACATATCTTCAACATTTGTGTCAGCCTATAATTTGCAATGTTAAACTGAACTAACATCATTACTCTCTCATAAGGTAATAAGTATCAACTTGTGGGATATACTCCTACCATGAATGCACTCCTGAAAACATTATTCCTCAATAATGCTTTCATTAACCTCTAGTTCTGTAGAAAAATTATAATGATGGTACCCTACAGCTGAAACATAAATGTTTCAAATCCAATATCCAGAAACACTCATATTTCATTCCTGCTTCCTCTTATGAACGAAAAATTGAGTTCAGCAGTACCTTTGATACAAGATAGCTTAAGCATGATGAGTTTATTCACTGAAAGACATATAGAGCAGCAGCCAGGTCCCATAAGCACTTGTCAAGATGCACGTACTCAAAGCATTCAAATTTTGTTTCACTTGCTTTCGCTACTCTAGGATTTTTTCATGCTTTTCGTGTAAAACTATGATTTGTCTACCAACAGCTGAATATGGCTTGAGCCTAGTCTTTTAACTTTCAAGCTGCAGAAGTCTTCTTCCCATGAATGAAGCATAAGTTGGGCCTAGGGCCCAGGCGTAATTTCTAGGACAGTATATCCCCACTACAATATGTGACGTAACCTCATAGGTCAGTCTATTCATAGGTCTCGGTCGTACTAGATCTGTACAATCTGTAACGTTAGCGCAGGCAAAATAAGCCTAGACCTACGATACACGGATCCAGTATCGTTGTCTAGGTTATATCAGCTGCTTCAATGTATAGAAAGTGCCACGCTCCAAACCAACGCACAGGACAATGCAATTGACTTGAAAGAGCAAGAACTAGCAAGGAGGCCAAGAAGGAAAGCGACGGCGACGTGGAATTGGAGTAGCCATCTTGGTGACGTCACGCTGGATCTCTGCATGCCCTCTGGTCAGAGGCATACTCCTTCACCCTTTCTTATGTGATTGTCGACGTTTTGATAGGGTACGTTCAATAATCAAAGCCTAGATTTCATTACTCTTATCAATTTCTCTATATCCTTTCAATTCCATATATAATTTGCTGTTTTCCCCCTTCTATTTGCTCTCTCCGCTGATTTTGTGAGCCTCGTCTCCCATTTACATCTAGAGAGGAACTCCCAATAGGTCAATAACTAAGTACTGGGAAGTCTTAGGCCGAGTTCATACTTGTGCTGTACGGCATGCTGGATGCAGAAACTGCATACTTTGCTCAAAAATCCAATGGACGTTGACATTGAAATTTTGACCTGCAGCTTCAATATCCAGCATGTTGTATGCATGAGTATGAACTCGGCCTTAGAAGGTCAAGTGACATTTTTATATCCTTAATATGCCCTATTAGCTATTTCTGGGACTTCTTATTTGGGTAGAGGCTCCATTTACTTTCGGCGAAATATATTATATCTAGCTCCTCTCCTGTATACACCATAACGACTCATGCTACTCCATGCTACTCTAATATACAGTATATCATATTCTCCCCTCTCTGCACCATGCTACTCCATACTACTCATTGCTACTATCCTCTATACTTTATTCTACCGTGTCTGTACCATGCTACTACATGCTATCCGCTGCTATTCTTGTCTTAAGTCTCTTCTCATACGTGTATATCATGCAACTCTATGCTACCCACTGCTATCTACCTTTCAGCTCTTACATCTCCTGACTTCGCCATACCGTTCCATGCTAACGCTTGGTACACTCCTCTGAATCTTATTTCCTCGTGTCTGCACCATGCTGCGCCATGATATCCGGTGCTACTAAATAAGTCACGCCCTAGGGGCATGTCATCCTATATCCCTATATCGAACCGGTGATGATAAAAAGCTAAAAATATCTCTTGAAACAGACACGAACCACTGAGTATTCGTCTGATCCACTTAGTGCGGTAACCATGTCGAACCTTTGCCTTCTACTTGCTTTTTTCTGGTTTTCACATTTTTAGAGCGTCCTCCAGTGACGCCTTCTTAAAATATTGTCTTGAACAAGCGAAACGGGAAGTTGGTCCATTCTTGAAGGTGTTGAGTTGTGAAAAATGTTTCCAACATCGATTCTTTCTTCACCTATGTTGTTCTCATGTGGCGTCCCAGAGAACCACTAAACTGCCAAGTACAGTATTTAGTCGGCCTGTTGTTCAGACTGCACGGACTGGGGAGACTACAAGACACAGAATCAGATCGATTTATGGATTCCACTTTGAGACACGATTGGATTCCACACGAGACCGACTCATTCCAATTTTGATTGCATATGATTCCACTTCATTTCATTGTTGAATGTTGAAGTTACCTGTCGAGGTTATTGAACAAATGGGTTGTGTTTCATCGTTTTCATTCTATTTCATTTCATTGGCAAATTTTGAAGTTATGGAGTGAAGTGGGAACCGATGAAGTGATAAAAGAGGAGCAAAGGATAGGTCCGGAGCAGACCAACGAGAATAGCATACTGGGATATTTTCAGAAGATAGAATGCAACAGTTGAATACGGACGGGAGAGTAAGGCAGAGAGGACAGTAGCATCGAGTAAACTGGAAGATTACGCAAGAGACAACCGCGAGGTAGCATGGAGAAGCATGGTCGAGTCGGGAGAGGTGGGAGCTGAAAGGAGGATAGCAGTGGGTAGCATAGAGTAGCATGATGCACACGGGTGAGAAGAGAGTTAAGACAAGAATAGCAATGGGTAGCATGGAGTAGTATGGTGCAAACACGGTAGAATACGATATAGAAGATAGTAGCAATGAGTAGCATAGTGCAGAGAGGGGAGAATACGGTATAGATTAGAGTAGCATGAGTTGTATGGTGTATACGGAGAGGAGCTACTTGTGACAAATTTTGCCGAAAGCAAATGGAGCCTCTACCCTTATTTGTCTCAAGCGGATATCTTTGGGATGTATTTGCGCTGTGTGGGATCGGATCGGCGACTCAATGTTGTCCTTTGGAAGGCATCTGACATTAGATAATTTATTTGTATTGCTCCATTCCGAAACTCCACATGTACGAGACATATCGGAGGAGTGTTCGTAAATTTTTATTTTGTTCCACTGGAAAAAATTGTACATGTCACAAACTGCCTAGGGATGTAATACATGGCGTCCGTAAAGTGGCTACCTACGGCCGAATTTTTTAATTATTGACACTGAAGTAGCCTTTTTTTTTCAAGTTCGCAGACTGACAACGTACCGACCTCGAAATGGTGTCAGATCTTCCTATCACTTTGGCATGACCAAGAATTAACCGGATATGGTGGTTTAGCTTTTTCTAAATTCATTTGAATGGAAAATAAATGGAGGCTAAAATTCGAAGAAAATTTTGCCATTTGACCTTATTTCACTAGCTTCTTGCCACCATCACAGTATTGATTGAATAATGGGAGTATTTTGGAATTCAAAATCATGAAAATTAGGTGCTTACTCGACACAATGTTTCAGTGTATCGACCGTCAATTTCCTGAAATTTCCGAGCCTTGGCGATTGCATCGTCGTTAACATCATTGAGAATTCCGTCACTTATCTGACACACGGCACGAGAGATACTCACTTTGGAATTGTTCAGATCTGTGGGCTTATCCTTTAAATAATAAAAAAGAGTCTTTCTCTCTCTCCTTTCGGGAATGCTGTACTCCGTGTTTCTGAACATGTAATTGAAACAAGGGTCTGGTTAATGAATTCTCTGTCACACCAGAGTTGAAGAACGAAAGATGTGATACCATTCCGATGTCTATCGATAAACAAGCTACAATAATAAAAAAAGGGGCTCCCCAGATTCAATATTTAAAAAAGTTGTCCATTGGTAGTCCCTTTATAGACACCCTGTATAGCACATCCATGAATCGAGGTGCACGTACGTGGTATTGTTACTTCTCAAGAAGCAAACATCTGCTAGTCCCACGTTTTCGTCACCTGTCAGGAATCTTGTAAATCTTATCACAGTAAAAGGAATCTCTCTGCTTGCGTATTCACATCAGAACGGCCAACGGCCTGAATACATCAAACGGATAGTGCTCCCCAGCTACTGCTTCTCCAAACTGACGGAAGAGCATAATTCCATCATGCCCGTGGCGCGGATCCACTCGCAAAGCAACTATGATCTTCTGCTTCATCTCACAAGAATCTTTGGCAGTCTCAAGAGGAGCGTTAGGCATGGTTGACGATGCTTCTTTGAAGAACTTAGCAATTTTCTTTCGCCCAACCTTATTTAGGAGAACTGTCATTTGCAGCGATTCTCATTGACATTTGTCCTCGCTGCAAATAACAACGTTCTAAGAGTTAAATGCGTCGTGCGTCTTTCAAAACGAAGAATGTTTCATTCTACATTCTGCCAGACCATCATAGGAGGGGTACGAAAGATTATGCTACATGCATTAGTGCCAAGCAATCCGCAAAACGTACGAAGTTCACTGAGTAAACACTGACCATTCTCTCGCATCGAGCGCTGACCCATTAAGTCCTCCTTCCTCCGCGCCCCCTTCATTATTATTTTTTTCCCATTTTCTTCATTTTCTTTACCCTTTGAGTGGAAGGGAAGGAGTGAATGCTGTTCAGATCCCATACTGGTCGCAGCAATAATCTGGAATAAACTGGTAATGTTTTCCATGACCTCATCCAGGATGCGAGTGAGACTGATAAGCCGATAGTTGGACTTCTTACTGAAGATTGCTACATCAGCTGGTTGCCAATCTCTGGGAACTTACTTGCACAAAATGCTTCTCTGAAATACCATTCTTCCACTTCTTCGATCGTAAAAATCGTAAATAACAAAACCCACCCTTGAGTGAAGACAAGTGAATGCACGCTTCATTTGTTCATGTAAGTTCAGTACTTCCCTGAAAGTACTCGTAGCATCGGGAGAATCTGGTAGTGCTGACTGCACGGGGAGTTTCGTACTGGATGCCCAAAAAACAACACACCCAGAGCGAGTAAGTCCACGAGCACGTAAAAGCAGTCCAATGATTTTTATTACATGGCATCCAGTTTGTCAGAATAATCGCACTTTGTAGTACCTTCTGTATTTAAGTAGACCTAAAAAAAATACGTTCCCTTAGGCTAGGACGAGCTTAATTATCTACTTCGTTCAGCCTGTAATAGTAATACAATGGTGTACTATTCAGTACTTCTAGTAATGCCAGAACCGTACTCGAGAAGCCTAAAAGACTCACCCTCAGGGTGGGAAACGAGTTCATCTACCTCATTTCTTCGAATCGGTTCATTGATTTTTGCCCTAGGTTGGGTGAACTATGTATAGGGTTGCCCGAACGAGAAGCAGATCCCTAAACAAGTAATTTCCGATTGCTGGAAGTACTGAACTATTACGAATGAAACTCCTTGGTCTCAGAGACACGGGGGGGGGGGGGGGGGGGGGGGGAGGGGGAGCTGCGACCAGTATGGGATCTGAACAGCATTCACTCCTTCCCTTCCACTCAAAGGGTAAAGAAAATGAAGAAAATGGGAAAAAAATAATAATGAAGGGGGCGCGAAGGAAGGAGCAAGGAACTGAATTCTGTTAATCAAGGTGGTGTTTTCTAGCCTTGAGTGACATTGTGAAGATTTTGGGCTTCAATTCCTTCCTTGGTTATGATGTAGGGTTTCACAATCCACTGCATCTCGACCCCGTACACTGCACGCAACCAGTGGTGCAACCAAGGGGATCCCCCACCCACCCACTCTTATGATAGGTATTTCTCTGCTCCTTCATCCCCCTTTCTTCCGAGGGTGGGGATGGGAGACGCAGAAAAATAAGTTCATTTTTTAGCTTTATTTTCAGATAACGAATGTGCTTTCATCATTTACATAGTTTAAATTCCGCTTTCATCATTAAATAAAATTATTTTTAGTTTCATTTTCTTTGTTTTCCGTGTTCGACGCCGTTTCACGTTTTCGTTGTGACTATATCACTTCTGACGATTTGATAACGCCATCTTGCATTTGGAGAAATTTGGATGACAGGTCATAAGTACTTCCCCGAAACCCCCCCCTCAAAAAAAAAGTTATAATAATAATAAATAAATAAATAAATAAATATTCAGGGCTGGTTGCGCCGCTGCACGCACTGGCAGCTGTCTGCCTCGAAATGTGTTGTCAAATTTGATACCCTAGAGATAAAAGATCAACTATTAAATTAATCTTTGGAAACTCTAAGCGTAATTTCACTAATGTGCAACTCGATGCAATTTATTGCTGCGGCAGCTACACCTTAGTCGCAACGGGAGGAGAGGACGTGACAACACTGTGGTTTGTGCTTTTCAAATGAATGCTAAATTCTACTAATGCATAATAATGTAGCATTCACCAAAGGAGCTCTACATTAACGAACCACGAACATAATCAAACGAGGACAAAAAATTAGTGGGATCAGAGCGTTCACATTTGTGATTCGCGGGTAAACATAAAAGCACATACAATAATAATAAAAAAGTAGGTGGGAACGAGTGCTAACTCCGTTCCCACACACTTTTCGAAAGGTGTGGGAACACTGTTCCCATACTTCTAGCAGAAACGGCAATAATTTTTTTAGATAGAATTTTCTGCTATATTTAATTTTTTCAGATGTAAGACTAATTTTTCAGCTGAAAAAATAACTCCTGCAATGGAGAGGGGGGAGTTCAAAAGCACCATACCCTCGTTTATGCCGTTCCCATACTTCTACAGGTCGACTTTCATCACTGAGCCCGGGCATATGATATCTTTCTCGTGAAATCCATCACAAAACACGAAAACCTCGGTCTCCGTCTTATAATACGTCTTTCAACGCCTACATTCCGAGAACCGGCATCTTCATGAAACAGTAATCCAGATTCAACTCAGGCATCCAATCCGAAAATGCTCCGTCTCGGTTGTTCCAATATATTCAGGGGACAAAAGAAAACGATACTCTCTTATGCTTAATCGTACAAATGCCATTCTCATCTTCAATTACCTCCCCCGGACGAAAAGAGAAGTTAGAGATTGGCCTGGGCTAACTTGCGGGCCATCAAACATCAACTGCAGCAGCCTTCCTGTGTCGCTTCTCAACTCTTGAACATTATGTTCAAAAGAAGTCTATTTAAAGCTCTTCGGGGAGATCGGGGGCGAGGAGGTGCAAAGCGTATAAACTTTTCTTTATTTGTTTTCCTTCTGACTGCGGACAGCCACCGCTCTCATCAGTGTACAGAATGCTTCTTTTTTTTTTTTTTAGCAAGACTCAGGACGCATCAGTATACCAAATTATACGGAACATATCACCCAGCAAATCCTTTTACGTACGACCAGCAGCGCAGCGTCGGAGGGGCCAGAGGGGCACGTTCTCCCGCTCCGTTTAAAAAAAAAAAGAGCAAACGTAAGGAGGAAAGATGCAAGAAATGCACGAGTAGTATTGGGTTGGAAAGAAAGTCTTGCAACACTCTGCGCAAATTTTTCAAAATTTTATAACTTTATTGAAATGCAATTTCAGTCTACATACATTCCAGCATATACAAATGCAAAGCCCCGCCCATCATTCCTTTGAAAAATTTTATAAATAGTTTTACAAAGTGTTGCAAGACTTTCTTTCCAACCCAATATGTCCCAGAGTTCCCGAGCCTCCCCCCACTTATTCCATTCATGCTACGCTAAGCTTAAAAGACAGTTAGTTAGAAACTCTATGTTGGACCCAACCCTGCTTTATCTTGAAATACGCTGGAGTCATCTGCCGTCAGTCCTTTTTTTTTTTTTGCTAAGAACACCTGAAAAAGCAGTATTCTAAGACAGACTCGCCTTCTCATCAGTGAGTCAGAAATGAACTTGAGATCATCATGCATCCAACCACTTTCCTCATATGGCATACAGGACATAGCACATGAAGCATTCACATCAAAGTTTCCTGCGATCCACGCCAGAAACCACGAACGAAGGATACATAGAGAAAAGCTATACCGTGCATAGCCGAGCCTTTTCCAGCGTAAGGCGAATAAGAGGAGTTCTTGTCGTTTCACTTCCGAGAGATATAATGTCCCCATAAAATCCCCACTTGCCCTCGTAATGCAAAATAGTTCCCAAGATGTTACAATTATGTGTCCTATGAAAACCTTAGCTTTCTACTTCAAATGGGAACTTATAATCGGAATTTTCTCTTGGCTGACCGTAATTGCATGTACTCTCTCAGTCTACAGGGTGGGCCAAAGAAAACCGCACCAAATTTTGCAGCTTATATCATAGGACTAGTAAAAGGTAGAGGAATGAGGCAGGACTCATTGGAAAGAACATTCAATTGGCTTTAAAATGAAGCAATTTTTCTTTCAATATTTAAAAGATAAATTTCCGTATAATCACTGTTTTAAAAGTTCGAGAAAAAAATGACGCTGCCATCCACAATTAGGAAACTCATTCATTATTTGATCCAGAGTATTGCTTCTCCACATGCAAGGCCTTAAACAGAGCTTCGTCTGATTCACTCACAACCATCGTGAAGCTTCGAAGTTCCAGAGCAAACGAAAGCTGCTTCAAAACAGCGCACCATGAGGAGCGACACGCTACACAATGCTCAAACATGTATCGGATAAGCTGCTGAGTCGTGCTGCCTGCCCGACGCTGAGAACGCCCGACAAAATGGGGAAACACAAAGCGCACCGATCAAAGTCACGCCACAACTGCAACTACAGCTTACTTTTCGCAAGTGGTTTGGAAAATCGACCGTTCAAAGTTTCCCTGTTTTCTTTTGTCGAAAAATGGGGTATCGTTTTAAAGTTAATGAAAGGCCCTTTCTCATGAGGGCACCGGGGTTCCAAAACACTGCACTGTTCTTGAAATAGAAGCTGAGAAAATCGGTGCGTTTTTTTTTGGCCCACCCTGAATATGCATTTTCAAGCAATTAAGCTGCTTTGAAGCCTAACGGAGCGAGAGAAAGGAACGGAATCGTCGGCATACAGACAACCAGGCCAGGCCCGATTTCCATCTAGAGGGAATTGCGATTTTGCTGGTTGCGGAAAAGCGACTAAGTCGTCCCTGTTCTGTACCGAGAGTCGGTGAGAGCTGGTATCCCCGTCGCACACAAATATTTAGCGAATGCGTCCTCGTCTTCTGAGGGGCAACACTGGCTTCTTATGATTCGTAAACGAAAAGCAACGGTAAAGCACCTTTTGCTGTTTAGCCAAAGCACCAGATAAAAGTTCTTAATACAAACATGCGTACT